TATATATATATATATATCATAATAGGCTAAAGGATTTCTATTTCGTAGGTGTAAATTTTTTTAAAGAAAACGGATAAGTAAAATAAATAGGCCCATCTGTTGATATTCATTACATTTTATTTTATTTTATTGTACGAATATAAAATTATGTTCTAACTTTATGAAATCTAGTTGAAATAGTATGGTATGGTATTGAATTATTATCGTGACAGGTAAACAAAAAGAAACACATTGATGCTTCTAATGCTGGTACTACTGATCCATTGTTGTATAAAATAAGGCGAAAGAAAAAAATTTGGAGATGCCGGGGATCGAACCCGGGGCCTCTCACATGCGAAGCGAGCGCTCTACCACTGAGCCACATCCCCCCTCCACTCTTCGAGTCAATTAAACTGATAGTCTCTTGCTAAGAGCTGTAGGACTAGAAAGCCAATAGTGTCGTTTTACTATTAATTCTCATATGCCTTTACTTATTTATCACTCGTACATTTTTGTCTGCGAAATGGCGATGATGCATTACGAAATAAGAGAGGAAATATGTATTACAGTTATGTTTATTTTGTTTCACCTTGGCTACATCCACGATCGGTTCTATCTTTCAGTTTCAGCTTTTTCATTGCTACTCAAACAACCGTAAGAGTGACTTCCCCTGCCTGACCCTTCCTGGTCTGCCACATCAACATGGAGGCTCTCTTCAGTATCCCCTTCTCTCTTCTTGAATGCCCAAATCTCAAGTTGAAAAAACCATCATGGGTGAAGCAGCCGTCAGCAATGGTCGTTTTCGCTGCAGTTTTAACGTCATACTTTTTGGTCACAGGAGGTAAGCTTTACTTCAGATCTAGAATCTAGATTAGAAATCTAGAGGGTGTGCCGGCCGGTGTTGGAAGCAGTCAGCTCTTCTTCTAGTCTTCTGCTTCTGTTGTAACTGTAGCAGCTCTGCCTTTTTTCCTTTTGTCCAGTCCAGTCCAGCCCGGACCGTGTCCAAGGGCTGTGAGAATCAGGTCTTCGGCTGACCAAAGCCGGGCCGGCTGCACCAACAAAGTACAATGCATAAGCTTCATTTTTCAAGGTTCTTCAACTTTTAATCTGTGGCTGGGCTTCAATTTCAATGAATGGAAGCGATGCTTTTTGCCCACTGACACGACCCACTTTCTCCGTACAGTCCAGCGTTCCCTGCGGGGTGCCAAGTTCACTCAGCGGTCAGAACCTGTCCTGTGGGAAGTCAGGGAGACATGTATTTTTTATATGATTACTGTGGGGGGGGAGGGGGGGGGGTGTTAATTGACAATAAAATTACTATAAATTAGGAAGAGGCTAGCCGTACTTAATGGTGTACTCTGCTGGTGTGGAGACTGGCAGTCTAGCCGTACTAGTCTGACCATTTTAAAAAAAAATAGGCCTACTGAATTGTAAATATAAATTTTTAGTGTGCAGTACCTAAAGTATTTGTATTTGAGACAAAACCAGGTGCCTTAATGACAGTGCATGTATTTTAAACCTCCTGTTTTCTAATGTTAATAGGGCCTAAGATAAGTATGGCTAGACTGTCAGTCTAGCCATACATAAGAACGGCTAGACTTCTTGGCTAGCCGTACTTAAGTACGGGTAGACAGCCAGGCTAGCAGTACTTAAGGACGGCTTGACTGTCAGGCTAGCCATACTTAATATTGATGGCTGAATTGTAAATGAAATTTTTAGTTTGCAATGCCTAAAGTATTTGTATTTCAGACAAAACCAAAAGGTGCCTTATTGAGTTGCATGTATTTGAACCTGAATAATTACTAGGTCTAGATCTAATGAGACCTGTGTACTTAACAGGCTTGAGTCGATAGAAGGGCCAAACCTAGATCTAAGTATGGCTAGACTGGCAGTCTAGCCGTACTTAAGTACGCCTAGCCGCTTCGATAAAATTTAATGCTCTATCTTTTACAGCACAGAAAAATAGGTGTTAGATTGGGTAAGTCAGGAGTCTCATAAGGTGATGTTACACCCATTCAAAGATGAAATATTTATTATAACCCTTCCAGATGCTGTTACTGTAATGGATAATCAAAGTTTCGAAAGGAAAAAAAAAATCAATTGCTGATTGTGTTGCTCTCCAATTTTTCTTTCTTGTAGCATAAGGTTTTTGACCATCAAATGAAATAGACCTAATTTTTATTATGAAACATTTTGTGTAAAAGCAAGCTCAGCTTTGGGCAAGATGAAAAACAACACACCCATCTTCATTGAGAGGATCAGGCTTCATGAACCCACCAGGCTGTATAGGCCTATAGTATTTATATATATTGAGATGTAATTTTTATGTAGATCTGGATTGTAGAGATGAGTATTGTTTTGTAATACAATTACTATTTTTGTAATTTTTATGTAGATCTGGATTGTAGAGATGAGTATTGTTTTGTAATACAATTACTATTTTTGTTTATAAAATTCTTATTGTTTGCTTGCAGGTATCATCTATGACGTGATTGTTGAGCCTCCAAGTATAGGATCTGTGCCAGATGAGAAAGGGAACTCCAAACCTGTAAGTTGTCTGTCCTTTTAGGCTTTCCATTTTAGCATACACATGATGTATTTATTGCCATCATCATCCCTATTATCTCTGCCTTTCTCACCGAGCATCAGGGATTTCAAATTAGCCATGAAGACTTTCCTCCTTTCCCTATCCCGGGAAGCCTCTTGATGTTATTTCATGTCTTCCCACTTTTCTATTCATCAGTCTCTGTCTTTGACTGTTGTCCTTCATTACTCATCCTGCATTGTTACCATAGTGGGTGGGTTTTTGTCTAGTTTATAATGAATAGAGGCTACTGGAGTGAATGATTTTGTTGTGTAGAAGACTTGAAGGAAATGAGTGATTTTTTTGGGGTGTGTTCTTTTGAATCTATGACCATTTATGTGTTGTTTGTATCTTTCTGTCGTTTGGATATAATATAAGCATCATGTATTATTTGTATCTTGCTGTCTTTTAGATTTATGTTATGAAAACCTTGCTTTTCTTTCATCCTAAGGATGGTTAGTGGGCGTTCTGCTTCTGTTCTTTCTTTTTTCTTCAGTATTCGTATACTTAAAATTACCGGCAAAAAAAAGGGGAAAAAATTAAAACTGTTAACTGAAACTTTTTAAAAGTGTTTTTTCTTTGATTTATGTTATGAAAACCTTGCCTTTCGTTCACCGTATGGATGTTTAGTGGGCTTTCTGCGTCTGCTCTTTTTTTTCAGTATTCCTAATACTTAAAATTACCGGCAGATATAAAAAGATAAAAAATTGTTAAACTGTTAAACTAAAACTTCTAAAAATGTGTTTTCGTGTTTTCATACCCCCCACCAGGTGGCTTTTATGCCGTACCGAGTGAACGGCCAGTACATCATGGAGGGCCTGGCCTCCAGCTTCCTGTTTACGCTGGGCGGTCTCGGGTTCGTCATCCTGGACCAGACCAACAAGCCGCTCATGCCCAAACTCAACCGCATTCTGCTCATCTGTGTGGGCGGAGCCGCCGTGGTCATTGCTTTCTTCACCTGCAGGGTTTTTATGAAAATTAAACTTCCGTGAGTTTTTTTGTTTCTTCTGATTTTACATATATATTCCCTTTCTGTCACATGATTTTTTTTCCTGTCATGTGAAACATGTTAAATGGTTTGAAGTTTGATCCTATCAACGAACTCTGTCTTTCTCTCTCCCTCTCTTTCTCTCTCCCTCTCTTTCTCTCTCCCTCTCTTTCTCTCTCCCTCTCTTTCTCTCTCCCTCTCTTTCTTTCTCCCTCTCTTTCTCTCTCCCTCTCTTTCTCTCTCCCTCTCTTTCTCTCTCCCTCTGTGTTTCTCCTTGTTTTATTTATGTCCTCATTGTCCTGTCTCTTTCTCTCTCTCTTTTCGTCTCTCCCCCCCCCCCCCTCTTTTTCTCTCTCTTGTTATGCACACATGCACATACACACACAAACACACACACACACACACTCACACACGCACACACACATTCTCACATTCATGCACACACACCCATACTCACACACACACACATGCCACGTCTGGAGCAGACATTGGCAATCATCACTCAATTACTGTGTTGAGTCACCCTCAGAAAATGTACTGTATCGTATTTCCAGTTGTCCAAAAACTTTAGACTTTAAAAAAATAGTAGTGTTGCTCTTGGCCTCCCTTTTCCTCATTTCTGTCAATCTTTCCTGTGAAACTGAAAAATTCAAGGACCTTTGTGACGATATTTCAACTGCTCCAACTGCTCGGTGTAAAACTCTGTCAAATGTCACTTGTCAAAATGATGTTTGGCGACGTCTAACGCAAAACAGTTGATATATGTGTTAAAAAGATTACATTTGTTTCTGTCAGTGTCAGGGGTTTTTTGTTTGTTTTTTTAGTACACATTGTTGGGAATTGGCTTCACTAAGCTGGGACTCATTTGTTTTCTTTCCTTGAAACTCTCGGCATTCTTTGGATAGTGGGTGGTTGGCAGGTGCTCTGGTGTGGTTTGCTTCTTCTTTCCTATCTAACATCTATCGTCATTATCTCCCCTTCTTCTTTTTTATGTTTGTTACTCTCTTCAGACCTGCCACTCATCCCGATTTAATCGGGATAACCCGATTTTTTGCCCCAAATCTCAAGCATCCCGATTTTCCCGATTTCGATCGCCAGTATCCTGATTTTTCGTGGTTGCGTCTGTTGCGTCCGATTCTTAGATAAAAATATAAAAAGTTCTGCAATCTCTTTTGCTTGGAAACACCGATTGGACTTTTTATCTGCAGGAACTTGGAACGCTATTTTCTAAAGCATCTATGCCGAATCTAGGTCTAGTAGATGGCTAACGTACGTTATTTAAACTAAAATCGACCTAGTTTCAAACGCTCACTCGCATCACATGACATGACCTCGTACGTGTGGTGAGTTGCGCGTGTGTCGGGGACCGTCGGTTGTCGGGGTCAACAAAGTTCATTCACACCGGTCGCGTTGGTCGAGGTGTTTTTCGGGACTTAACCAGTGTGGACGGCCGGGGGGAGGGGGTGGGGGTATTGTTTTGACTCTTGGGATTAAAGTGCGTGCCGTGATACAGGTACTAATTAAGGGGAAAGGAATAAGAAGAAAAAAATGAACAACCTTGGCGCGATCTTTTTTTCGATGTGATGGAAGTCAAACGTTAAAACGCAGGCGTTTTGCGTGGTTGATTAGAGTTACGTGTCAGCTATTTTCAAGACTACGAGTGTTTCAGCATCACTGCGACTTTCGCTCCCCCAGTCTATCTAACTTCGACTCAAGTACATATATGCTGTCAAAGTTTTGCCTTGCATACTCGCCTCTTAAAAGGGAACCAGGACACCACCACCCCCCCCCCCCCCACCCCCCGCCTTCTCCAGTGCCCTTTATGACTGATTTGCCGTTGATCCCGATTTTTTCCACCAGATCCTGATTTTTTAACTCAGAAATCCTGATTTTTAGATTTCATAGAGTGGCAGGTTTGCTCTCTTTTAACACATCTAATCTTCTGGCGCTCATATGACCTTATGCAGTTGCGAGCGCCGTAAAACCTCTACTAAAACTAAACTAAATTCTTTGGATAGACATTTTCTTTGCTTCCAATTTCCTCTTTCTTTATAGTCATTGTCCAACTTTCACACCTATATATATATTTATTTTTTTTAAGTGTTGACTTGTTGTTTTTCATGCTATATTAAAATTAATTGAAAGGAACTGCTTCTTGCTTCTTTCCCTATCCTTTATTTCTTTTTCTTTTATCTTGCTTTTGTTTTCTTACATGATGTAATGACCATTAATATTTCTATTGTTGGCCAACTGTTAAATATGTACTAGTTAAGCTAATATGTAGGCTACTAATTAAGCGCAACAAGCAAAACGTTAGAGGGGAGAAGAGACATTAAACTTTCCTTCTTTCAACAATTGTACCCATGTTATGTATTTTTTCTTCCTTTTTTTCTTTCAACATTAAGAATTGAGGTTTCAACAAATATTTCTTGAGCACGTGCCACCAATACGGAACCGCAGATTAAGGAACTGCAGTTTTAAAAAATGCTTCAAAATTTGGAGTTTAGTCCATTTCAATGGCTGGCCAGTGATAAGTGCCTCTGTTGAGCGTTTGGAGATGATCAAATTTTAACAAATATGATGATTATTCGTTGCACTAATCTTTTCCTTGTTTGCTTATTCTCCTCCACAGTGGCTACATGCAAGCCTAGGAGCTGTGTTTGTTTACTTGTGGTCGGCGTGTATGTGTGTCCTGTGTAGGGTCACCTTGCAGAGGCGTGTAGGGTCGTCAGCATGGGTGTGTCCTGTGTAGGGTCACCTTGCAGAGGCTGTATGGATGTGTTAGATCTTACATAGGCTGTGTTATGTGTCTGTTGTTACGCAGAGATGGTGTGAGTGTGCGCTGTGTGTCGTTGTGTAGTGTATTTGTTCCCGTCATACCAAATGTTAACCTATACTTATTTTGTTTTATTCATTTAATAAATCAGTTATAAATTAATAAGTCCTGTGTGTTTTTCCTTGATTTTTTTTTTCTGAGAGTTTGAAATTTTTGCATGTAGCAAACCTTTGTTGTGGGTGGTTGGCGGGTGCTGTGGTGTTGTTTGCTCCTTCTTTCCTACCAAACACCTATCGTCCTTATCTTTCCTCCTTTTTTGTGTCTGTTACTCTCTTGTAACACCTCTATTCTTTGGCACTTATATGACCTTATTGTGTTGCAAGTGCAGTAAAACTCTTACTGAAACTAAACTAAAAGGTGATTTGAGGGAGGGGGGGTGGGGGAAGAGCAGTGTGGTTTGCCAAGGTAAGGGGCCAGAAGAAAATATTTCTGCTGGAAGGAAGAGAAAACCGTTTCTGTCCAGTCTGGGGAGTTTTCACTTTTGGCTGTGTAGGTAGCTTAGTTAGGTTCCTTGCCATGCTACAGTACTACAGTGTGGGGGATCTTGGTTCGAATCCATTTATAATGAACTGTTGTTTTGGGAATTTTAAGGCTCTCCCTGGGTGGTTGGCAGGTGCTCCAGTGTGGTTTGCTCCTTCTTTCCTATAGAACATCTATGGTCCTGATCTCTCCTTTTTTATGTTTGTTACTCTCTTGTTTGTTTTAGTAGAGGTTTTACGGCACTCGCAACTACATAAGGTCACATGGGCGCCAAGGGGTGGATGTCAACAGAGAAGTCTTTACTAGGATTCAGACTTAGACAGCTCACCTCTCTAGCTTCAACAGCGCAAAGTCTGCTTCAACTATCAAGGCAACCCGGAAATAGCAGGTCACAAGAGTGTGACAAGCATACAAAAGAAGTAGAGGAAACTGACAATAGTAAGGATTAGGAAAGAAAAGGCAGCAGTTCCCTGTTGTAGTTCAGGCACAGTATGAGCATGACATTTTTGAATCAGCCCATTTACAATTCTACTGTGCATAAGAATGAGAAATGTCCCCCCTTTGGGAATGGCCTAAAGACACTTCAGTCAGTGGCACCACCCTGGGGGGGGGGGGGGGGGTACTCTCTTGTAACACCTCTAATCTTCGGCACTTCTATGTCCTTATTGTGTTGCAAGTGCTGTAAAACTCTTACTAAAACATAAGGCTCTCCACTTCACCCAGATGAGGTGTGTCTGTCTGCCAGGATGTTGTATCCCTCTCACATATCTCAGCCCAGGTTAGCGGACAGGCAGGGTCAGAAGATAGTGTAAAGCGCATAGAGCTTGCTTTCAAGTGGGGACATGCGCTATTCAAATGCTATTTATTATTATTATTATTATTATTATGATGATGAAGAAGATGATGATGGTTATTATTATTATTACTATTATTATTGTTATTATTATTACAGTGGAACTAGGATTTAACGAGCTCGGATTCAACGAGATGAGATAGATTCCCCGTTTTTTTTCTTCTTTAAAATCAATAAAAATAACCTGGATTCAACGAGCACTTAAATCAGCGAGCTCGGATTCAACGAGGTCGCTGCCAGGGTGAACTGCCCCCACAGACGTGACTTTGCTCATTTTTCTCCCACAACGAACTTTATCTATTCCCGGAAACCATCCTTTGCACCTGCATTGTGAACCAGTATTCACTTAGCCGATTGCATGTGACCAATCAGCGGCCTTTTTTGTTCATACCAACACATGCGTTGTTGGCTCGCGCATGTGTCTACTCTGGCATGTGTCGGAGTCGGATGGGCGGCCTGCACACGTGACTGTGTGTGTGTGTCGGGGAGGGAGGGGGGTGCACTAGCGATCCGGGCGTTGAACGTCGCAGATACAAACGCGTCACATTTTTTTTTTTCCCCTCGGCAACGGACCATTATTACTACAATGATAAACTAGTCTTGACGTAGATCTTCGTAATGAAGTGTGCGCTTGTCTATGAAATCAAAAGTTGCCATTATGCTAGGATCTACACAGCAACACAACTTTGTGGTAAACAATCGAGATGACACAGGAATGCATTTGAACGAATCGGTCTTTTTTTTTTTAACACAGCTCATAATATGAGGGCATTTCAGGCACTATTTGTGACTTCTCTTTACACATTACTTACTCAGTGCCTGTAATAATCTACACAAAACCTCATGTTTGCTATAACGAACACTCAGATTCAACGAGATTTTAGGTCAGGCCCGGCGACCTCGTTGAATCCGAGTTCCACTGTACTATGCTTGAACAAGAAATGTTCCCCCTTTGGGAACGGCCTAAAGACACTACAATCAGTGACACTGCCCCGGGGGGGGGGGGGGGGGATGACTTTTCTCTATAACAATAACAGCAATGTCTAACAAACTTACTTAATAGTAAGGACATCTAGTTTACTTAACAAATGTCTGGCACCCTTAAAAATTGGACACGAGACAATAAAAAAACAAAAAACAACAACCCAATCATCTTGTTCGTGTGATAGAAAAAATCTTTATTTAGTTCTGATATAATCTAAAAAAAACAACCTCTTCTTATAATGGAAATAATTTGCATTTTCTACTGCACATACATCCACACTCCACAGAATGTTCTAATATGCTTTTCAAGTATTATTACCCCCTGCAGACCATAGAACACTCAGAAACATTCTCAGCTTCCCGGGAAGAATAGTGCAAGCGGTGGATTACACACGCAAAAACACTAACACACTGACAAAATCTTTTGCCATTTGTAGAAGGAGGAGGAGGAGGAGAAGAAGGAGAAAAAGAAGGAGAAGAAGAAAAAGAAGAAGAAGAGGAAGACCAAGCAGCAGAATCAGCAAAAGAAGAGGCAGCAGCACCAGTATTTGTATAGCTCATATTCCCCTCATCCTGCTCGACAGCAAGCTCCAAGCTATTCGATGTAAACTATATTACTACTATTACCCCCAGCAGACCATAGAATGCAGGGAAACATTCTAAACTTCCCGGGAAGTATACACTGCAAACAGCCAATTAAGCGTTCTAACACTAACAATCTGACAAGATCTTTCTTCACTGTCTATAGCCTGGTACCCATTCCCACCAAGGTGAAATGAGCAAAATTCACGTAAAGCGCCTTTCCCAGGGGCCCACTGTCCGGTCTGTGGCTCGAGCCCCCGAACTCGCAACCTCATAATTACCCTGTCCCAGTCATTTCATGCAAGAAAAAGTCTGAAATTAGGCAAACTGAGCCCAAACATGTGAAATTATGCGATTCTGTTAATTTTAACAAAGAATGATAAAGGAAAATATTCAGAAATTATGCAAAAAAATAATCAAATTTAGCTAAATTATGCGGGGTGCATAAAACTACGGGGACAGATTACCAGTCTGGAAGCCTAACCACTAACATACCAATGCCATCATTCAAGATCTATGTAGAAATACTCGCGGGCAGTATTGCATACAGACATAAGCCATTTTTTGCAACCTTTGACTTTGAGATACATCTGTGTGCAATACTGCCTGCATACTCTTTCACTTCTATTATCTATTTGTGGTGGCCGAATGTTGCTATTCTAAAGGCTTTTTAATGGCTGCATCGATCGACATGCGGTGTTTGCCAAAAGATTCTTTAAAATATTCTCCAGAGCATGGCGACCTTGGTTTTTTTCAGTTTTGAGACAGTTTTGCTGCTAAAAGCTAAATTTCTTTATTTCACCGATCGCTTTTGTAGGCCGACGCTTCTGTCTCTGTAATTTTAGAAAATTCGGAAGTGATATTTCGCGAGGCGCGTTTTGTTTTGAGAGTATAAATCTAGACCTTATAATTTTTTGCATCTTTCAAGATGTATTGCCCCATTCCATTAGAGTGTAAATATAGTAGGCCAATGACTTTTAGTTGATAATAAAGCACCGGCCTAGACGGTCAGAGAACGGTTAGTATAAGAACGTATAGGCACCGCCGAGCTAGTGCGATATAAGTATACAGTTTATCAAAAATTAGAATTCTTAAAATTAAACAAAAGTTTATAACAAGTTTTTATCTATGGCACAGAAATAAGTATACACGCCCAGAAGTAATTCTACAGCAAAAAAACCCAAAAAAACTTGGTCTACATAATCAAGGTACTACAGGGAATTATACCTTTTAATACCTTCTTTACTTTATATTATATAATCAATGTACTACAGATGATCATAAACACTTCAAACTCGTCAGAACATTGTCATCTTATTCGATCAAGTTTGTCAAAATTCTGAGCAGAAATGGTATGGTAAAGTGTGCTGCACTAACATTCAGCAATATTTAAATACATTTATTTATGAATTCTTTTCCTTTACAAACCATTACAAATCTAATAAAAGTAGTAAGTTTTGTGCGTTAAAAACCCTCCAAGTATCAGAGGTGACATTCTGTGGAAACCATGTACATGACATGGGTAAAATTGTGTAGAGGCGAGGAATTCTCAATATTTTAACCTTTAGCAACAGGGAGGCATTGCGCTGCCAAGAGCGAAATGCTCGCAGCTAAAGGGATTTGAAAACATCAACAACAACCTTTAGCAACAAAATACCTGAAAACATTTTGAAATCAAACAAACCTCAAACGATCTATCCTACATTTCTGACAGCTCAGCAGAAAGACTGAGAAAATCGATAGAAATTCTTTCCACTCAGAAATCGAACTATCATGTGACAGCGAACCGCACAACTGCTGCAGCACAGACAACGGTAATATGGTAAAATTTTTAAGAAGAAACTAAAAGCATTTCTATTTTCATTATATTTCAATTAGACAGAATCCATCCAAGCTGAAGATCGTTGTGAGCTTGTATTTGCATATGTGCGTATGTACGTATATGTGTATGTGTGTGTGGTGCGTGGGTGCGTGAGTATGTGTGGGCACGCGTATGTAACACTAGGTGCCTTTAAAATTGATTTGTAAATCCATAATATGTATCATGTTAAGCACATAGAGCATTGCATAAGTGGATATGCGCTATGTAAATGCAATCCAGTATTATTATTATTATGGTGTAGTAGTTGATTCTTCACAACCTACCACCGAGAACTTGGATCACACATCTACTACCTAGATCACTGAAAGACTTTGAGAATGAACAAATGTACATTTTCTTGTTTTTGGCTCATATAAATGTTGTTATAATGTTGTTGCACTCCTTTCTTTTGTCTCAGAGGAAGAAGAACTCTTTTGTATTGAAACAGATTGATTGGGTTTTTTAAAAGTGAAGGAATGGATTTGAAACAGCCGCTCTATTCCAGTCTAAATTATGGCCAATACACAACAGCGACAAATTTATCACTGACACCGCTTCGACAAAGTCACTACATGTATCATTATCATTAAACCACTAGAGATATCTACATACAACTTAAAATATCATAATCAAAAACACATAATTTAGTATCAATCTGAAAACAGTAGTCCCTAAGAACTGCGCATGTAGAAGTGAAAAGGCCTACATCAATACAAAGCTAGACTATCACCAAAATCAATTGGTATCTCATGCTAAGAATGAGATTTTTCCAAAATCAATCCCGTCAATGCTTCCACATATCATAGACCATCATTTTTTCACCGTCGCATATAAAAAATCATTATGTTTAATATTTCTCATTTCAAGCTATGTAAAATAGCCACACAAGTTAAAGAACTCGTGCATCAACGCAACCACAGTAACTTTTTAAAAGACAAAAAATAACAAAAGGCAAGTTAAGACCAGCAGTAAAGAAAAGTGTAAAAAAACAATGATCGTTAAAAAAGTGAACTGCATAAAGTTCCTTCAAATACTCCAGGAAGGTGCATCACACATGGCACAGGGGGAAACGTTCACCAAACAATCCACAATGAAAAAGGTGCACCTAACAACAAGGCATTAAAACAGGTGCACCAAACGAGGCTCACTGGACGAGAAGCCTTTACCAAGAAACATGATACAGCAAGCTTCACCAATTTAGTGCTTGGAGTATTGAGGCTTATCATCACATTTTCACAGGGTATTTATCACATGTAAGCATTTGAAAGAAAAAAAATAGGGCCAAAGACTGATTACCTAAAATTCCAGCATCTGTTCTTAAGACACTTGAAATAAATATAAAATTAAAATAAATCATACTCTACTGATCCCTGTAGGGGAATTTGGGTTACAATGGAATACACCTGTATACATTAATACATAATCAGACACACAAATATATATATATATATATATATATATATATATATATATATATATATATATATATATATATATATATATATATATAAGAAGAATACCAAATACACAATAGTACAAAACTATGCGGAACAATTTCATGAACATCCCACAGCTGATCACCACTGCACAGACCCCTGTATTTTTTGTATTTTTTTATTTTTTTATTTTTTTTTAGGGGGGAGGGGGGGCTAGGGTAATCGTGTCTAGGTCAAGGATACACCCCCCCAGTGACCACCCATCCAAACCCAGGGTCACCAACACTTGTTTGACATTATTTTTGAGTCTAAACTCACTCTCACTCCGCCACAGATGGTTTGTTTAGAGATGAAAATACATGTGTACCATCGTACCACCACAGACACAAGTATACGTCACATGATAGCAGAATTTCTTTTTGCTCCACTTTTCAGAATCACTTAAACACTTTATACACAGGCTGCTATTTTTACAGGTGTTTCGTGTTTCACATGTGCTCTTAAAATCTTTAAATGAATAATAAACAGCATTTGCACAGCACATATTCCTGCGCAACAGCAAGTTCTATGCACTTTACAATCCATATATATATTATTACTCCAGCAGACCTTAGAACACTCAAAAACAAACTTGGCTTTACGGAAAGAATAGAGTACAAGCAGCCGATTTACGGCTCAAACACTAACAAACTGACAAGATTCTTCACCATCTATAGCCAGCTAGGCTACCTAGGCTACCCATTCCCATCTGGGAGAAAAGAGGAACATTTCTGTAAAGTGTCCTTCCCAAAGACACAATGTCAAGCCCGACCTGGGGTAATGAACACCCAACAGCCTGACCAGCAGGGATGCCACTCAACTTTTTTGAAAATAGCTGAAAATCCATACGCCACGGTCTTGTTAACTAACATATATGAATATCAATTTGAAACCCAAAGGGTGTACATAGAGAGAAATGACAAACAAACAAAAACAATGGGTTTACATTTTTCCGTTATTTGAACATTTGGCGCAAGTTATTGTGTGTGTTGGGGGTGGGGGGGGGTATTTTTTTCCAACTATAGATTCTATCTCGATCTCAATAACAGAATAGCGGATCAGGATCAAAATACGGGAAATATTGGAAAAAAGCAGAAAAGTGGCATCCCTGGACCAGGCCCCCGGTGTCACTTTGTCCACACTCTGTAAGCACCAGCATCTGTGGTAAGTTTTGTTTTAGTAAGGGTTTTACGGCCCTCACAACTGCACAAGGTCATATGAGCGCGCGAAACAAATTGCTTTTATTCTCAATATCAACAGTTCACAGCACGGCCTGATTTTGGTCAATATTTCTAAAATTTAAAAGTTTAAATGCTAAAAATCTGTTACATATGATGGTCAGGCACTTCATAGCTGAAATCAGAGGTCTGGACATCCTCTTCCATGTGGGGAAATTATTTTTACTGAGTATTTAAATCTGCCTGCTGTAACGCCATTTCCCACTCAACTTAGGTAGGTACAGACAGGTAGGGTCTAAGCAAGCAGCCTGCTTCCAAAAGAGTCCATGAAAGCATTTAAAAATATCATCTTTATCAATGTGTGTACTGTCTGCTTCAGCACCAAGGGTAGTGTTTAGTTTAGATTTAAAAGGAGTTTTGAGGCACTTGCAATAAAATTAGGTCATACAAGAGTGAAAGATTTGAGGTGTAATAAGAAAGTAACATACAGAGAAAAGAAGGTGGAGAGATAAGGATGATAGATATTTGATAGGAAAGAAGGAGCAAACCACACTAGAGCACCCACCAACTACCCAGGAAGGGGAGTGGACAATGGACCTCGTTTTTTGATAAACAACAGCACATCCAAGCAACAAGAGTCTGTTGCTTTTTCTTATTAATGTACCAGTGGGTGTTTTTTTACATCTCCATCAACACCATTTAGATCATTTAGGTGGCAGGCGGCTTCAAATCCTGCCTGTCATGGCCAGCCCGAGCTGAGAAGGATATATATATATATAATATATAATATATAATATATATATATATATATATATATATATATATATATATATATATATATATATATATATATATATATATATATATATATATATATATATATATATAAGATCCCAGTAGAAAGGCCAAGATACTCAATAAAAATTCTCCCAACACGGAAATAAAACTTGGGTCTCCTGCAGGCCACGACAAAGCACGGAACCGCTACAGCACAGACACCAGTGCCCAGCTTGACACAAATATATAAACAAATCGACACAATGAAGGCCGTGAAGGGCTAGGAAATTACAATGTACAATTCATCAGAGTCTCTCAGACCAAACATCATCAGCAGCTTGTCTCACCCCGTACCGGAGTAGAGGCCACCAACAGGAGTTCTCTTCATCTACTTCTGTCCTAGGCTATAGTCTCCACCTCTGTCCTGGGCTATAGTCTCCACCTCTGTCCTGGGCTATAGTCTCCATCTACTTCTGTCCTTCACTATAGTCTCCATCTACTTCTGTCCTGGGCTATAGTCTCCACCTCTGTCCTGGGCTATAGTCTCCATCTACTTCTGTCCTTCACTATAGTCTCCATCTACCTCTGTCCTGGGCTATAGTCTCAATCTACTTCTGTCCTGGGCTATAGTCTCCACCTCTGTCCTGGGCTATAGTCTCCATCTACTTCTGTCCTGGGCTATAGTCTCCATCTCTGTCCTGGGCTATAGTCTCCATCTACTTCTGTCCTGGGCTATAGTCTCCATCTACTTCTGTCCTGGGCTATAGTCTCCATCTCTGTCCTGGGCTATAGTCTCCATCTACTTCTGTCCTGGGCTATAGTCTCCATCTACCTCTGTCCTGGGCTATAGTCTCCATCTACCTCTGTCCTGGGCTATAGTCTCCATCTACTTCTGTCCTGGGCTAATGTCTCCATCTCTGTCCTGGGCTATAGTCTCCATCTACTTCTGTCCTCGGCTATAGTCTCCACCTCAGTCCTGGGCTATAGTCTCCACCTCTGTCCTGGGCTATAGTCTCCACCTCTGTCCTGGGCTATAGTCTCCACCTCTGTCCTGGGCTATAGTCACCACCTCTGTCCAGCTGTATTCCTTCCCCTTCAGGTTGGAAAGTAAGTCCCCCCTCTCAGTACTTTTACACCTTCCTTTTTTTTTTCTTTCTTTATCTTAAACCCCTGGAAAGTCATAAAACCTGGGAGCCGTGGCCTTGAACCAACCATTGGACAAAGGTTACAACAACATCATAAATGAAATGGTAGTGATTTTACGCCCCTATCAACACATTAGGTTATTTAAGAGACGAAATTCACATAAAGTGACTTTCCCAAGAACACAACGTCGGGCTGAATTGACACTCGAACCCCCGAACCAGAAATCTCACGATTACTAGTCGGTTACGTATGTTCTCTCAATTCATAAAAGATTTGCACAGGTTCAATAATCATCATCATCATCATCATCATCATCATCATCACCATCATCATCATAAATTGCATATTTATAAAGCCTGTTTTCATCTCTGCAGGATGATCATTGTGCATCTCAATAAAGAAATCAGAAAGAGTAAACACTTCTACTAAAAAAAAAAGTACATGATGCACAAATTTACTCAGACATTGTAAAAAATACAAATCAGAACATGCATAAATAAATATCTATTGCTAAGTGTTACGACTCCACCATACGCCATTTTGAACAGTGGAATATCACAGAGCCTTTCACTAAGCCGTCAATACACAGTTGATGAACATAAGAAAATAAATCTAGTCATCCGAATACCCTTGGAAAAATTTTTGGAGCAGGACGGGAACAGTTTCATCAAATCCCGACACATCCAGAAGATTCAAGTCATTCGCCATCCCCATCTTCGCTGTATCTGCCAGTCCCACAATGGCGATCCTGCCAAAACATAAAATGAGTAAAGATGAGAATGAGGTTTAACTCTTTGAACTCCATAGGAGCATCTGGCGGAATTAACCCTGTTCCCCATCGGACACTGGGAACGTCCAGTACTAGCGACAACTGTTTCGTTTTATCAAGCGCTAGTTTTTGCTTGTTTTTCAGAGCTATTCACGAAACAAGTTTTTTAGCAATGACTAAGCATTTGTCCCCACTATTCAGAAGATGGAGGCAAAGTTTTGGGGTTATAATGAGACAGAGTGCACCAGGTTTAGGTGACTGTCGAAAAAAACTCTGGGAAACCGTAGAAAAAACTCAGGGCGTAAAGAGTTAACTTCAGCTTTAAAAAGAGTTTTATGGTACTCCCAACACAAACAGGTCATATTCGTGCTGAAAATTAGAGGTGCTGCTAAAGAGTAGCATACAATGGACAGGAGGAGAGATTTTAGTTTAGTTTTAGTTAGTTTTACAGCACTTGCAACACAAATAGGTCATGTAAGTGCTAAAGATTAGAGATGTCACTAAAGTGTAACACACAATGAAAAGAATCAGAGATTTTAGTTTTAGTTTAGTTTTAGTAGAGGTTTTACGGCACTCGCAACTGCAAAAGGTCATATGCGCGCCAAGATTTTAGTTTAGTTTTAGAAAGAGTTATACAGCACTTGCATCACATATAGGTCATATAAGTGCCAAAGGTTTTGAGGTATTTCTAGAGAATAACATACAAGGAAAAGAAGAGGAAAGAGAGAGATAAGGACAACAGATGTTTGATAGGAAAGAAGGAGCAAAGCACACCAGAGCACCCGCCAACCACCCACAGACATGATCGACGCCAAAGGTGGGCAAAACTACAGCCTGTGCGCTGCGTGCCGCGCGGCAAGCACTTTCATGTGGCCCACTAAATCTTACCTCAAGATGACACTACAAAGACTTTCATTGGCTTTCTTCGTTTAGTTTTAGTAGAGGTTTTACAGCACTCGCAACTGCATAAGGTCATATGAGCGCCAGAAGAATAGAGGCGTTACAAGAGAGTAACAAACATAAAAAAGAAGAAGGGGAGATAAGGATGATAGATGTTTGATAGAAAAGAAGGAGCAAACCACAACAGAGCACCCGCCAATCACCCACATTGGCTTTCTCAGAATGCTCTGAGAAGAAACAAAACTTCAGACAAAAATAGGAGAGGGGGTGATACGAGACCTGTCAACCACTCTAGGACCAAAAAAAGGAGGGTTTTTTTCAAAATCGCTATGTCAAAAATTTGATGAAGCTATGTGCGATATTTTTTTAGCTGTAACGGACTAAGTCAGTCCCCCCCCCCATTGCGAAAGATGATTTTATTAAAAACAGGGAGCAAAAAAAAAATCAGCCTGAGTTGGCCCTGATAGGCAGGGTGGAAGCCCACCTCTTAAACTCTTTACATTGTGTTGCTAGGGACATCAAAACACTAACATAAAATTTAGAAAAAAAAACCCCAACTAGTCACAAACTTGAGCAGCCAGTGAAAGTTTGAGGTTCGAATCAATCTCGCCTGTCCTCTGATGTTTCCTCTCAGCTCAGCGACCTGTCGGCTGAGGCAAGTCCACACACTTCAAAAATGGCCAATCCTACGTTCAGTGTGGCATTCATCGTCACCAAATTTCAATACACAACTCACTTGGTGTCAGCGTTACCGTTGCGGCGAAATTCAGCAATGGCTGTATGAACGGGACTAGGACCATGTGGCGCTTTAGATTTCTTTTCACATACGATGAGAATGTTATCAAACCGCTTGCCAGATGCCCAGGACATGCAGCCTTCCAAACCGTAGTGTCTTTGTGCCTCCAACACCTGAAATTTAAAAAAAAGGAAAATAATAATAATTACAGCTGAACTTTTCCAAGATGACCCACGTTCTGTCGGGGAGAAAAGTAGTCATCTTAGTAGACAGGTGGATGTCTTGGACAGTGCCATCATACTTTTTTTTAATGCAAAGGAGTAAGTGAGAAATGCTCATTTACGCAGGTGAAGATAGATGACTGTCTTGGACTGGTGGTCATTAGAGCAGGTCTGACTGTTTTGTTTCAGTAGAGATTTGACAGTGCTCGCAACTGCATAAGGTCATATGAGCGCCAGAAGATTAAAGGTGTTACAAGAGAGTAACAAACATAAAAAAGAAGGAGGCGAGATAAGGACGATAGATGTTTGATAGGAAAGAAGAAACAAACCACACCAGAGCACCCGCCAACCACCCACTGGTTTGACTGTGGTCAGCAAAATGTCAGGAAGAAGAAGACAAAGAATATAACATAACAGATACCGGAGATTGACAGAAAAGAGCAAAGGGGAGATAGACGAAGAGGCCGAGGGGAACGCTGACCAAGATGGCCCAAAACAGACAGAGCTGGAGATCCTTTGTCGCTGCCCTAAACGCCAGATGGCGTAATGGGTAGTAAGTAAGTAAGTAGACAAAGAGGGTAGGCCCCCATGTCAACATTTGAGGTCCTTAGCTCAAAACTCTGTATGAGCATACTGATCCCAGTCAAAACTCTGTATGAGCATACTGATCCCAGTCAAAACTCCTGTATGAGCATACTGATCCCAGTCAAAACTCTGTATGAGCATACTGATCCCAGTCAAAACTCCTGTATGAGCATACTGATCCCAGTCAAAACTCTGTATGAGCATACTGATCCCAGTCAAAACTCTGTATGAGCATACTGATCCCAGTCAAAACTCTGCATGAGCATACTGATCCCAGTCAAAACTCCTGCATGAGCATACTGATCCCAGTCAAAACTCCTGTATGAGCATACTGATCCCAGTCAAAACTCCTGTATGAGCATACTGATCCCAGTCAAAACTCCTGCATGAGTGAGGAAGTGAGGACATCCCATAATAATTATACAATATCTACGTACATCTCAGCAGTTTAAAAAAAATGTTAATATAGATGTTTTTTTACGCCACCATAAACCCAATCTAGATCATTTAAGAGGTGGGCTTCCCACCCTGCCTGTCAGGGACAACCCGGGCCAACCTGGGCCAACTTGGGCCAACCTGGGCCAACCCGGGCCAACCTGGGCCAAGACGGAAGCAATATCCCAGCAGAAATTCCAAGATACTCGATGAAAATTGTCTTTTCATGTGGGAATTGAACCTGGGTTTCCTGCATGCGATCCTGAAGCGTATAACCGCTACACCACAGACGCCGATTCTCAGTCGCTAAAAAGTTATGTGATCGAAGTGTCTATATCCAGACATTAAAGGCGGTTTCAAATAAGTCAAATTTTGTCATCTCCCATAAAAAATAAACTATGTCTTCAGACTTAGATGGTTCGAGCCTTAGGCCATCAATATACCATACAGATCCATCGGAAATATTTCCACAAACATCCAAATAAAGCGGGCATAATTGATGGGCCTTCAGCATTTTGCAGACCCTGATCTTCTGCCAGCAAAAAAAGGACATACAGCTCAACTTTAACAGAATAAAAACCAAAACTTCCCCCAATGTGTCCTTTGTGTGACTACCATATGAGACTGTGGAGCATCACCTGTTCCACTATACAGCCCTAAATGACATCAGAGCTACGCTTCTCCCTGCGAGACCTAACATTGACAACACACTCGATAAAACAGCAGCTGCAGCAAACCTGCATTTATCACTACATGGCATTGGACAGATGGCCAAGAGCCCAGCTATTGCTGGAACGATAACAATAACAACAAAAACATTTACACAACAATAATGACAATGACAATCTTTATTCATCTCGTAAGGAGAAATTTGTCTTGGTCATTAACAATAGCAGTAGACGTTACAAAGATTAGGTACAGTCACGTACGCAAACGCACAACAAGACAAGACAATAGTAAATATATGCCTCACATGCTGGGACAACCCGCTCCGTAAAACATTCTCTCTCTCTCTCTCTCTCTCTCTCTCTCTTTCTCCCTCTCTCTCTCTCTCCCTCTCCCTCTCTCTCTCCCTCTCTCTCTTTCTCTCTCTCTCCCTCTCCTCCCTCTCTCTCTCTCTCTCTCCTCTCTCTCTCTCTCTCTCTTTCTCTCTCTCTCTCCTCTCTCTCTCCCTCTCTCTCTCTCTCTCTCTCTCTCCCTCTCTCTCTCTCTCTCCTCACTCTCTCTCTCTCCCTCTCTCTCTCTCCCTCTCTCTCTCTCTCTCTCTCTCTCCCTCTCTCTCTCTCTCTGTGTCTAACAACAACAACAACTCTGACATCTGAGCCATTTTTCACAACAAACAGGCTGGATCGCTAACAACAACGACAACAAACAGGCTGGATCGCTAACAACAACGACAACAAACAGGCTGGATCGCTAACAACAACGACAACAAACAGGCTGGATCGCTAACAACAACGACAACAAACAGGCTGGATCGCTAACAACAACGACAACAAACAGGCTCGGTGAAAACGCTTACTTTATTTTTAGTAGCTGCCTTGTTCAAGGTCTCGGTGACCTTTCGATGGTTCATCAATGATGTCACTGGGACCGCCTCTACTTCGTCAGTGAGGTGAACGACTTGAAGGGAATCAGTAGTCTGCAAGAGAAGCGAATAAGACCAGCGCCTGAGGTGTAACAGTTAGGCAGGAGATCAAAAATTTGATTTCTAAGAGGGGAGAAATTAATTTTTATCAAGTATGTTCCTTCCTTCCTCTGGCTGGCCTCCGTTAGGAGGGCGGCAATGTGCCGTAGGCACACAGGTAAGCGGCAACGTCTTGTGGCCTAGTCCAGAGTACATCCGGGCCCAGTCTCGCGTTGTTCTCCATAAGTGGGCCTCGATGTGTTTCCCCCCGCGGGCACTCATACAGTGTGGCCACTCATACACTCATACAGTGTGGCCACTCATACACTCATACAGTGTGGCCACTCATACACTCATACAGTGCGGCCACTCATACACTCATACAGTGCGTTTATCAAGTATCTCGCCCTTTCTGTTGGGATGTTGTATCCCTCTCCACACGGGTTGGCCCCGACAGACAAGGTCGGAAGCCCGCCTCCTCAAGGACCTAAAGAGTGTCGATGGGGGCATAAAAACACCTTCATTTTAAAAAAGAACAAACTTTATTTCAAGATGGAATTGTAAACTAAGGTAGAAAATCAAAAAGACGTTCGGTCTCTCTTCCCTCCAATAATGTGCAACTTACACGCAGCATGATTTCCGTCACAAGGGCACAGACGTGGATCACTTTCAGCTCGGTAAAACCATCGACACGAACGTCTTTGTGTCTTGGGTCAAAGTTCAAGGCAAGAAGACACTTCTTGCCCAAAAGCAGTTTTGGGGTAGCCTGAGGGGCGAGAAAAGATAATAATATGAATAACAGCATGTATAATATATTCTAGTTTAAGTTTTTTTACAAGTTTTAGTTTCAGTAAATGTTTTACAGCACTTGCAACCGGGGTCATGTAGTACGTGCCAAAGATAAGAGGAGTTACTCCAGAATAACAAAGAAAGGAAGAAGGAGAAATAAGGACAATAGACGTTTGATAGAAAAGAGGAACCAAATCACAACAGAGCACCCACCATTCACTCACTCAAAGGAATTTTGCTTCAGATATATCCTGTCTCAGTGAAATAGTGGTACTTTCCAAGAAAGTTAACAATTTCCTTGATGAAAAACTTAGGTCTATTTCTATAAACTTTTTCTGGCATGAGCACTGACCTTTACCACTGGTCATAAAACTTTTTTAAAGGCGGGTCCCATAACAGAGAATGCCGATCCCCCCCCCTCCCCACAAGGGCAGTACCACAGACTGAAGTGTCTTTAGGCCATTCAAAAAGGGAGGACATTTCTCCTTCTTAAGCACAGTAGAATTGTAAATGGGCTGATTCAACAATGTCATGCTCATAACTGTGCCTGAACTACAACAGGGAACTGCTGCTTTTTCTTTCCTAATCCTTACTATCGTCATTTTCCTCTACTTCTTTTGTATGTTTGTCGCACTCCTGTTTGTGACCCGCTATTTCCAGGGTGCTTTGAAAGTGGAAACAAACTTTGTACTGTTGAAACTAGAGAGGTGAGCAGAGTAAGTCCGATTCCCAGTAAAGACTTCTCTGTTGACATCCATCCCTTGGCGCTCATATGACCGTATGCAGTTGCGAGCGCCGTAAAACCTCTACTAAAACAAAGAGAATGCAGAGCGTGGGCCGCTTACTATTTTGTTCAATGCATAACATGAAATAGGCCTACATAAACAAAATATACAGTATTAGTCAAGAGAACGTCCCTCAACAAAAACTCATTTTCTGCACATGTAGTCTCACTGTTCCTTTGTCTCCCCCCTTGTACAGGTAACTAGGAACAAAGACAGTCCGTACATTTTTATTTTCATTTCATTGCACAGATGCTCTGCTTTTGAGAGTCAAACAGCTGTATTTCTTGCTGCAGACCACACATACAGCCACTAAAACATTTGCAAAAATCAAGCATTTTCAAGAAAATTCGAAAACTAATTGCAAAACATCAAACTATGAGGAAAAAAAGGGGTGGGGGTGGGGTAGGGGCATGCACCACCCCTGAAACCTCCCCGGATTGGTCCAAAGCATGGAAAATTACTACCCAATTAAGCTTAGCGTAATATAGTTAGAATAAAAACAATATTGCTCAGTGTGGCAAGAAATTATCTTGGTAACTAATGAAGGACGGATTCACAACAGTGCACTGGGTATTGTATTGAACATTTCCAAGAAAAGCCGTTATCATTAGGCGCCCTTGCATGTAAAGAAAAAGCAGGTACACACCCGAAGAGAATCCTGGTACACTCTCTGCAAAGCATTGACGACATCCTGATTTTTCTTCCATTTCTTCTTACTTGCCGAATACTTCTTTTCTACTTTCAGGACAAGCGCTGGCGACAATCTGAAGAACAGATTATTGAACATAATACAAAATTAAAGGTTACAACTAAAGCCATAAGAAAGTTTCACCAACTTGCCATATATATTTAGGCAGATAAGTTCACTGCTCTAGGAAAGGGATAGGCAGGCTCTGCTATCTGCAGCCAGCGGTGGCATTTGTGATCATTACAAGCTGCCTACTAATACTAATAATTATTTCCTTTCCTTTGTTCTCTTTCCCAAACTAGCTAGCCAAGCAGCAACGTCAGCAATTTCTCTCCCTCCTTGGTTGTTAAAGGTCACCATCAATTCATGATGGACAAACTATTATCATTATCGCTATTATTATCATTATTTCTATTATTATTATTATTTCTATTATCATTATTGTTATTATTATTATTATTTCTACTATCATTATTGTTATTATTATCATTATTATTATTATTTCTATTATCATTATTGTTATTATTATTATTATTTCTACTATCATTATAATTGTTATTATCATTATTATTTCTACTATCGTTATAATTGTTATTATTATTATTTTTATTATCTATTTTTGGGATACACTATGAAAACAATTCTTTATAAAAAGCAGCGCTGCAAAATAAGAGTTGATGCATAGTTGAAAAAGGGACAAAATACTGGAAACATCTGGCCTTGAACTAAAATAGATCTTTTTTAAATAGAGGGTTCTGATCTTTACCCATCCAAGAAAGTAACATTCACTCAGTTGGTACCAAGCCAGACTACCAATGATAATAAATTACAAATAGTGCATTTCCACCACTCGGAAAGTGCTCAATACGCTTTACAATCATAGAAAGAACATAGGTCCAGTAGCCCACTCTTTCTTCTCTCTATCTTTCTCTCTTTTAGTCTGTCTGTCTGTCTCCTATTCTCTTGACTCTAATTCTTTGCAGGTATATTAAGATGCATGTTTGTGAAAAATCAAAAATAGTAGATATTATTTGCAACTTGTGCGTTAGTACATGGCTGAAGTTTTTCTCAAAATCATTGCCCGAATACAATTAATTTAACAATACCTTTAATTCAAATTAGAGTTTTGGTGAGTTGCACATTTACACTCGCTGTATCACCCAAAAAAAAAATCTTAGTTCAATATTAAAAAATGGTTACTGTAGAAGAAAAGAGACAGCACTCGACAGCATCCATTATGACACCATATGGAAAATTCTGATATTATGGCATCCCAGAAGAACTAGTCCACATAGAGAAGGGATACAAATGGACAGTGGTGGACACTATAGTCCAGGACAAAAGTAGGAGGGGAGCTCTTGTTAGTGGCCGGTACTCTGACAACTAAGAAGGATAGTGGGGATCAAGTGGTACGATCGAGTCTCAAAAGCTCAACTGAGGGAAAGAACAAGCCAAAGGCCAGTAAAGGGGGACATACAGGTGAAGAAATGGAAATGGATTGGACACACCCTGAGGATACCCCCGACAAGCATCATCAGACAGGGTTTGATGTGGAATCCACAAGGAAAACATACGAAAGGAAGACCAAAGATGACATGGAAACAGCTAGAAAAGGATGCACAGGACAGGCTTTGCTGGAGAAATGTTGTTGACGGCCTACGCTCCACTGGGAGTTAAAAAGGGCAAGAGAGAGAGAGAAACTCCGACAACAGGTAAGAAAGGCTGACAATGATGATGATGATTATGATGATGATGATTATGATGATGATGATGATGATATGAAAAGAAATAATATTGTGGCGCACAGGACCCATGCGGGCCAAAATTTTCGTATAAATCATATGTTCATCAGATGAGACACGTTATAATTCAAAAGAATTTTAGTACTGATCATATATGAAAATCTATGAAAATGTTTTCGAAAAACAGTTCAAATTGTCAAAACTCCTCAATGTTACTACTGAAAAGGTCTCTAACCTCATCATCATTCACAGTATAGACTTGCTGCTGTGCAGGAATTTGTACTATACAAATGCTATTTATTATTATTATTATCATCTCAATTGCAACATCCACACCATACAAACCAAACATGTTTTAGTTTGGGATCTCATTCCTTTCTTCAAGTACGCCGTCCATGCTCTTGTATTCGTAACTCATGGCAGAGATGAGACGCAGAATGACTAAGACACCCTCATTTTTATGTTATAACGTTGAATCTAATCATGATGACAATACTATACTTGGTTCAAAAAGCGACAGGATTTGATAGCATTTGGCTAAAGACCACACGCTCAAATGCTACTGGATTAACAACAAAAACAACAAAAGCAATATCAACAACAACAACAACAAAACTCACTGTTGGAGTTCTGCCTCATCAGCAGACGTCAGTCGGTCCGTAACTCTCCGCACGTGCGGGGAATCTTCATTCAACATCTGCAAATTGGCCATTTTGGGAATGTGCTGTACCAACTCATTGAGAGGTTCGTGTCCCAGCAAACCTTCATACAGCTACACGGAGAGATGGGGATCCCGAACCACAGGGACTGGTTAGTTTCGTTTTAAGTAAGAGTTTTATGCACTTTCAACAAAAATAATAATAGAAAGCATTTAGACCTGATGGAGGCGAGATTTGTGAATCTACTCTGATGCTAACAATGCATTTCCCGTAGACTAAATTCACATCTCACCAAAGTGGTGCCAGCAAGGGGCGGGCAAGGTGCTGGGGAGGGGAAATGTGACTCTACTCTGTCTGCACGTATAGGGATTTTTTTTTTTTAAATTTAATTATAAAAGAGGGTTTTACGGCACTCGCAACTGCATAAGGTCATATGAGCGCCAAGGGGTGGGTGTCAACAGAAAAGTCTTTACAGGGAATCAGACTTACTCTGCTCACCTCTCTAGCTTCAACAGAACAAGGTCTGCTTCAACTATCAAGCAGGCGCGGTTCGTCCATAGAGCATGGTCGTGCAGTGCCGCCCAAAATGTTTTAATGTTCTATGACGTAAAGCATCCACAATAATCAAATAAAAGACGCCAGAAACAAACACTAGCCAAATATTATATCAAAACAAGGTCCTCGCTGGCGCCGTAACTGTCATTTCTATTCTATAGCGCCGTAAAACATCTACTATGCCATGCCTAAGCTCATGCACTGTATCTAAACACAACAGGATAGTCAACAGTGGAAACCTGACCTATAAATCGCTCTTTGGGATAACCCAAGCGATGACGACACTTGTAGAGAGTTTGGCGATACATTAATATTAATAAGACGGCACACCTCACGTTGTTGATAGCATCACTATATTCGCAAGAGTAAAACATTTGAGCTGTTTTTTTACTATGGGAAGTTATTCCCATTTGTAATAGAGCAAAGCAAGAGAGGCAGGGAAAGACAACAGAGAGATAGGGGGAAAAAAATGTTTTATCAGAGTATCCACACAGCCATTGACGAAAATATTTAAGTGCAATTTTATCTCCACCTCTCACTGTTTAAAAAAAAGGCTTCAAATTTTAATACTTAATATGGAATACTTTTATCTCTTTAGGATTAGGAGTAATATACGAGGCAGTTTGAAAAGTAAGGCAAAATCGGTGAAACTAAAAAAGAAAAAACTCCTGTTTTAATCAGTGACCAGTGCACACACAAAAAAAGCGCATTACAGCAACAGAACTACACAGCCGTAAGCTGACAAAACAAAACGCCTTTTTTTCATTTTGGCGCCAACATTTTTTTTTTGCTAAATTGAAAGCCTCATCAGTTACCCTACTAGTGTGAAAAAATCAAATTGAAACTGTGACTAGATTCTAGTTTTTTAATAAACTAGAATTTCAATTTCGGAATGACTCTATTTTTAAATGATCACGCTGCCAAAAAAAACCTCTTTTTCTCAAAACTGATCTGAAGAAAAAACGGCGTTTTGTCAGCTTATTGCAGAACCCTCAAAATTGTCCAAGACGGCCATGCAGGGTTGAGGAGAAAAGTGATGGCTTCGGCAAGTGGACATCTGTGACAGTGTCATTATGATAAATACAACGAGCTGGGCCCCCTTTCGATGAAAGAAATGATCGGTGCTTTAATATCAATTAAAAGTCATTGGCCTACTGTATTTACACTCTACTGGAAAGTGACAGTAAATCTTGAGACATGCAAAAAATTTGAAGGTCTAGATCTATACTCTCAAAACAAAATGCAGCTCGCGAAATATCACTTCCGGGTTTTCTAAAATTACAGACACAGAAGCGTCAGCCTACAAAAGCGATCAGCGAAATAAAGAAATTTAGCTTTTTGCAGCAAAACTGTCTCAAAACTGAAAAAACCAGGGCATCATGATCTGGAGAATATTTTAAAGAATCTTTTCGCGAAAACCGCATGTCGATCGATGCAGCCATTAAAAAGCCTTTTGAATAGCAACATTCGGCCACCACAAATAGACAATAGATAAATAAAACCAAGGGGGAAGTGGGAAGTGACCATTTGTAAAGAGGTGATCATCTTGGACAGATGTCCGTATGAGCAGGTTCGAATGTGTATCATATTTTTCAAAATAATAAGTAACTTTTGTATAGAGCCTATCCCCACTCAACAGCAAGCTCCATGCATTTTACAATCTGTATATATATTATTACCATAACATATCCTACATCACTCAGAAAAGTTCTCTGCATCCTGGGAAGAATACAATGCGAGCAGCTGATTAAACACTCAAACACCAACTAACCGACAAGATCTTTCCTCTTCTATCGCTAGGTAATAATAATAATAATAATAATAATTGCATTTATATAGCGCATATCCATGCTCAAGAGCATGCTCTAAGCGCTTTACAACTATTATTACCCCAGCAGACCCTCTGAGAACACTCTGAAACATTCTTGGCTTCCTCGGAAGCATACAGTGCAAGCTGCGGATTTCACGAGCTCAATCACTATCAAACTGACAAGATCGTTCACTGTCTATAGCCGGGTACCCATTTCCACCTAGGTGAAGTGAGGAAAATTTGTGCAAAGTGCCTTTTCCAAGGACACAACGTCGGGCCCCTGACGGGATTCGAACCCACGACCTTACGGTTGCGAGTCCGAGAGCCTAGCCACTAGGCCACCGACACCACAGGTAACCATTCTCACCTTAGTAAAGTGAGGAAACTCTGCGTAACTATTGTCAGAATAAGCATAGATGTGTATTGCTCTTTAGAGTATGTATCTATTTAACTCCAAAGATCTTGTAATTAAATTCCTGCATGTGGTTCAATGATGCATCCGATGTGATATGTACATTTTGTCAGCTTTACTTCTCTTTTCATATTAAATTTTAATGAGAGCAATATATAACTTTAATTTTACATACACCTGCATGTGTTTTTACGCTCCTGTACAGCCAAGTAAAACTTCCCTCTGGGATAATAAAGTATTTTCTTATCTTATCTTATTTTATCTTATCTTGTCTTATCTAATCTTACCTCCTTGAACTAGAGAAGACACCCTTGACAAGAAGGGAGCATCACAAACACAACCTCACAACCCAGTATCACAACAGACAGCCAAGAACATCATCAAATGCAACACCAGGGAACAGTGGCTCAATGGATGGGCAATGGGCAAAACTGAAAGAACTGTATTTGCACACATGACAGCCCCCAACTCTAAAGATGCAATAAATTCCCTGAGTAGAAGACAACAAGTAACGATCTTTCGCCTGCGAACACAACACATACCACTAAATTCCTCCCTTAATAGGATCCGCAAGGATACCCCACCCGACTGCCCGTTGTGCGACTGCCAGGATGAAACAGTACCACACCACCTCTTTAACTGCCCAGCACTTTGCAACCTGTGTAGCACCTACCTACCTGCCTCCCCAGACATCGGAAATACTCTATACAGCGACAAAGCACAGCTGATTAAAACCTGTCAATTCTTTGCCATATTGACAGACCGAAGGGCTAGAACCCAAATAGCCGCTGGATCGGAAAAGTAAGTAAAGTAAAGTACCTCTTTGAACTGCAGGCAGTTGGGCGGCACCTGCTGGCTGGTCAGGCCGTGTTTCTCCACCAGGACGCGCACTTTGTCCTTGTTGTCTCCAAAGTTTCCTTTCAGCTGGTGCACGTCCTGGAGAAAGGTCATCACTGCTTGAGCCTCTTCGTCCATTTCCATCTTGGAGTCTACCAGCTGCTGATCCTTCACCAAGTAATTCATTACTTCAGCTCTGCCTGAAAGATCGAAACGATAACATTTTCTAAAAAATGTAGGTGGTTTTTTTCACTTACACCCCCATGATCACTATTTAGATGATTTAGGAAGAGAGCTTTCGACCAAGCCAATCAAAGCCAACTCAGGCTAAAGGAACACAACATCCCAGCAGAAAGATCGAGAGTTTCAATAAAAATGTCTCCTCCCTCCAGAAAAGAACTCAAGTCTTCTACAACAGAGAAGTGCCAACACCTACACCAGATACCAGTAAACCAATAATGTATGATCCTACCACTTTTATTTGCTTAAAGTTAAAGAGAAGCACATCATTTAGTACTCAGAAAAAGCAAGTAAGACAGGAAGTAAATAACAGAGGGAAAGAAAAGAAGTAGGACCTATCAGGGGTGCCCTCCAACCACTCGCACCCAACAACCTGCAACGATTTAACCCACACAAGTTTAAAATATGGTTCATCAACCTAACAAGGCTACTGCCACTGTTTCAACAGATACTATGTACTTTTTATTTATTTTATTTTAACGTGTGCTACTTGAATTCACGATTCTTTTTAAAATCTGCGAATTCAAATCCCTCACAAATGTGAAAAGGCGGCATTACTGCATTGGAACCCAAATACATACATGACACTGGGCGACTCAAATCCCAAATTCCAAACATTTGCTTAAAATAAAATGGACAAATGCAAAATAAAAGAGTGTGCGGAAAAAAAAATCCCAGTAAACAGTAGCTAGTGGGTTTACTTTTTGTTCAAGTAAAATGCTTTTACCCATCAGAAACAAATAAATTATTTCAATATCGCAAAGCACTTGTCTTTGATGAAAGAGTAAAAAGGATTTAGTTTGAGCAAAAAGAAGCCCAATCACCAAATAAATGGCCACTTAGTGCTGGGAAAAAAGACAAAAGAAAGAAAGACAGCTCTACCCGCGGCATCCTCCAATCACCCGCAATAAAGAGGAAGGAAGGAGAAGGGAGAAGAGGCAGAGATGACACACTTTTGTACATGTACATTCGAGCAGAGACGATGCTATGTACATATATCAGAGATGTACATTTGAGCAGTGGTGAGTCTATGATAGATACTGTGTTTCATATATATATATATATATAAAAATAAAGGCTACATTTGAGAAAAGTCCATGTTTGTCATTCCACAATTAAAAGGATGAGTGGTAGGTCTGTCTGATCCCACCAACCGACTAGCACGACACGCTTTGTCATGTTGAAGTACAAGTTTTATGGCCCTCGCAACACAATTAGGTCATACAAGAGCCAAAGATTACAGGTATTGCCAGAGAGCAACAAACACAGAAAAGAAGGAGAAATTTCACAAGAATGATGGATGTTGATGAAGGAGCAAACCAGAGAGAGAGAGAGAGAGAGGGGAGAGAGAGAGAGAGAGAGAGAGAGAGAGAGAGAGAGAGAGAGAGAGAAAGACACAGAGAGAGAGAGAGAGAAAGAGAGAGACGCACAAACATACACACACAGAAACACAAAAAATAAATTCTCTTCCACCGAAGAGCAATATGTAGTCATCAAAAGCCAATAGGAAGCCTTACCTCTGCCTTTTTTGCTGGGGTGCAGGTGACACTGTCTGATCAAATCACGGTGTGTAAATCCCAGAGCTTGCTTGCAGTGCATCACTTCTCGAGCTAACTTCAGCGCTGGCTTGGACTCATAAAATTCTGTAATCATAGTCCTTAAACCTCGCCCCCATCCCACTTTACATTTACCGTCTACTTTGGGCTTCCCATAGAATTTATCTAAATTAACAAAGGTGAAAAGATCCTTTGAAGTCTCGCAAACTTGTAGTGCAAGCTTATACGCTTGATCTCTCACTGCATCATTTTCATGATTTTTCTCATTGGAGGGGACCGAAGAACGCACAATTCTTGCAAGGGATGAAAGCAGAGGGTCCTTACTGATGTACCATTTTCTTTTAAATACTTTCCTTAGCTTGTCAAGAGCCCTCAAACTCTCCTCAGTTGATGCTAGGAAAGGACTTAAAACTTCTGGTTTTTCTGTTTCAGCAGAAAATAGGATTGTAGAGGTTGACTTTCTCTTACTGTGACTTTGTTGCTTATTTTTCTGTGTGGTCACTGTATATGTTCCGTCTTCAGATCCAACGCAGACGAATCTACTCAACAGGTCAAGCTGGCTTGGGGTACCTTCCATTATAGTGTGTCTTTCAACTGAAAAGAGGAAAAAGTAATTAAAAATACATCAAAAAGATGACAAAATGATTCAATATTGACTGAAAACTAGAAAAAGTAATTCAAAATAGACTGAAAAAATCTTTTAAGTTATTCAAAATCGACAAGTACTCAGTTCAGGCATGTTTTAGAAAGCACAATGAGGAAGGATTATATGTCACCCCTCCCTACTTTACCATCATCCCATGTACACCCCTCCCCACTTTACCATCATCCCATGTACACCCCTCCCCACTTTACCATCATCCCATGTACACCCCTCCCCACTTTACCATCATCCCATGTACTATATACTGCTACTTCCAAGTGCTAGATCTGAAACAGAGATCCGCATTTATGTTTCTCCAAGAAAGTTTTTCAGTTCAGATGCTCTAGAAAAACCTAGTATATACATTATCATGGTCTTTACCCAACACACATCTGTTAAAGTTCTCAAACTGAGATAAACATCATGTCTCTTTTGCCTTCTATTTTTCTAGTGAGAGAAAGTTGCTCAAGGCTTTTTCAACCTATACTATAGCTCACTTATTAACCCTATCCGTACGTCCTGGGGTCATTTTGTACCCGCGGGGTTGTATTCTTCACATTTTAGAATACTTCTAGTACAAAGATCTCTTTGAAACTTTCAGTATTTCTCAAAAAAATCATTTTGACAGACTGCTATGCAAAGCGTACGGATCGGATTAACGAGTGAATGTCCTCTTTGGAAAGTGGAGGCACAGAGTTCCCCATGTCATATGGATACGATAGTAAAACACGACGTACGGATAGGTAAAACATTAACAAGAAAAATTGTTCCTTGATTCAGTATTGCTGCTCAACTGGCACTATAACAAACCACACTTTGGACCAATCAACTTTCTTTTCTCTGACAAAGCTGTTTGGCTTTCTTTAGTCAGTCCTAGCACGACCTCATCTATTTGACAAACTCAAGCCCCAATTTTGTTCAACTTTACCAGCATCTGTGGTGTGTAGCAGTTAGGCATCTTGCCGTCACATGCTGGAGACCCAAGTTCAATTCCCGAGTGGGGAGAATAATCATCGCGTATCTCCTCAGTCTTTTTTCTGGGAAGTTGTATCCCTCTCCGCCCAGGTTGGCCATGGCAAGAAGGGTTGAAGCCTGCCTGCTCTAAATTGTGTTGATCAGGGCATAAAATACACTTTAATATTTTTTTTTCTTTTAACTTGTCTAAATTTTGAAAGATTTGCACCCAGCACACCTTGTTTAGGCCTACTTTTATTAAAGGCTGCTACTCAACATGGCTACAAAAAAAGGTTTGTAACCTACAGACATTCATCTTGTTTTCATATGAAACTGCACCATTGCTTCAAGGAATGTGAATAACAAAACAAGCATATATAGGAATTTTTATTAAAAAGAGTATAATGCCATCATTCTCAACGAGCGTAGGGGTCAAATATTACTTTACAAGCTCTAGAATCTAGATCTACTTGGCTAGGAAGCTATTCATGTCACCTCAACACATTAGATGAACATAACATATTTCCCTATAAGTCTTATAACTATTCTTCGATGTATCATCACCAATATTATCTGATATAGGCCTATTGGTTGGTAACTGAGGAACATGAATGTTGTAAATTATTATAGCCAATATTGGCAATTTGAAGCGGGTCCAACCGACCAACGTTTGCTTCCTTATTTTTATTCAATTCTATTACTTTTGAAACATGAGTAAATATCAACATTCAATTACCTTTACACTGATATAATAACTGTCACTACAACATTACTTATTGATCTACTTCACCATCCTGCAAGCTGTTTTATTTCCGTGCACCCTCAAAATCACACAAATTAATTTCGTCAAAAAAATGCTGAAAAAAAATGTAACTGAATGAGTCAAGCAGAAAGTTAGAACAATGTCTTTAGATCTAGAATCTAATCTAGATCTAGAATCTAGAGTAAGATATGCACTTTTCCAGAAGGGTGTGAGTACTGATATCTAAAAAGTAAGATATGCACTTTTCCAGAAGGGTGTGAGTACTGATATCTAAAAAAACAAACATTTTATAGACTCTTTTTAGCCTGTGCAATCCCATTGAATGACAGAAGAAAGGGAAATAGTTGACGCCATTGGAACTGTTAACGAGGCTCCTCTTGATCTTGCTTGTCCTAGATCTAGATCCAGATCTAATTAATTAGATCTTCCCAGCAAGGTTCTGCCCGTCGGCGTAGGCCTACGTGTACGCCCCTAAAAAAAGCAATGATAATGAATCAAAACTCAATTTATACTAAAAGCACCCACAGAGCTTTTCACTTCGCTGCAATTCGAGAGGAATGAATTTTTCCACTTCAATCACAATCGCTTCACGACTTTCCTTCCTCTGCCTTCCACTTAGTAGATCTACTTCAAGCTCCTTGGTTGATCTAGCCTACTTCCAGTTCCAGTTTTCTCTCGTTTCCTGGAAACAGAAAGTGGGCTGGGTAGTTATTCGATTTTCGGTCAATTAATGAACATTCCGTTTCTTCGAAGTACACATGTGAAGAATTCTCACGATCTAAATGCTCAGCTATATCGAGAGCAAAGGCTTTAGAATATTATTTAAAACCTCCTAGATTGGGAATCAGAATTTTTCTCAATGGGTGAGTGTTTTTATTATATTGACCTCAGTTCGAACTCGCCGAATCTGTGTTTTGATATATCCGGATTCGCAGACTTCCCGAATTCAGCGGAGCCCACTTGGCTAAAGAAAAGACGAGACCAGATTTTTAAGGCCCAACCAAGGAGATTAAAAGTTAGTTCTATCTAATTAAGCTCCTTAATGAGCCCAACAAGAAATAGGCTATGATGGATAATTTGTCAGTCTTATTATACTTTCCAAATCTTTTTCGCGAAGTGGCCTGTGTGTGAGTGGGACATGTATTTTCCAAAGTCACAAAGTCATAGGCCTAATGATATGTCGATGATTTTTTTAGGCCCCAGCCGGTCGAGTTATACGGATATTTTTATAATTACTTTAATTAATTAATGTCACTGCCAGCTTTAGCACATATTATTTGCTGCAAGATGTCCTGTTTATAGTTTGTAGGGGGTCAACTAGTTAATTACACGAAATTATAGCGTTATTTTGGCTTTGGCTTTAACATATTATTATTATTATTATTATTATTATTATTATTATTATTATTATTATTATTATTTTTATTATTATTATTATTATTATTATTTTTTTTTTTTATCATTATCATCATCATCATTATTATTATTGTTGTTGTTATTGTTATTATTATTATTGTTGTTGTTGTTATTATTATTATTATTATTTATTATTATTATTATTATTATTGTTATTATTATTATTAATTATTATTATTATTGTTGTTGTTATTGTTATTATTATTATTATTATGATCATCATTATTATTATTATTATTATTATTGTTGTTATTATTATTATTACGTTTGTTCTGTTTGTAGAAGGCCCCGGTCCAGGGCTTGTCCGGTCCATATTCAAGGAGCTAAAATGTAATTACCTCCTTTCCCATATTATTATTATATTATATTATCTAATTAGGCCGGCTCTATTTCTCCGAACGCTCGGGAAAATAAACTTGAACTCTATTCATGGGTCTCAACTCAGAATTCCAAAAAAGGAGGAACTTTCCAGGAGATCGCCACAGAAGCCCATTTTCGCGAAACACCCATTATTATTATACTGTTGAGCCCTACAATGCTGAGAAAAAAAACCCATCAATTTATCACTGCAAGGTTATTTCACACTAATTTGAGAGTTTGGAAGATAATTTCAAGTAAAAGTCACGAAGTAAATATTTACAATCTTGATTACGTACAGAAAGTGGTGGCGCCTGGGGTCTTGTGTGACTTATTAATATTTTCCCTTCATCATATTCGCCTGTATACATAAACTATATATAGAAATGAATCTTGTTTTGAGCCTGGAACCAGAATATCGACTGTCATGATTCATATCATATATATATAAGCCTATATAATAAACGTGAAAGACAAAATTAATGCTCAAACTCAAAGTACAGTAGAATAGCTCAAGTAGACCTATTCAGTGTGAGAGGTGTAAGAACTGTGGGAGGGCAAGATGCAGTGATACTGAAAATCTGCGAATCTTGAACAGAAAGCTAAAATATAGAGATCTAATTTACTGTCCCCAATCCAATGAAACGCGAACACTCAGGCCCCTAAGTTCCATAACTCGTTTACAAGTTATGACCGTTCCCGATTTCATACAAGGCCTGCACCAACGCAGAGAGCTGAAGTAGTAATCAAAATTCTATACATTAAACATTTATTTTCAGTTTCAGTTTGTCTGTTTTTGTCCTCAGGTGTTGCGTCCAGCCCTCCCCCTATCCCCGAGTGCGTCTTTTAAAAAAATCAATAATCTCCCCCCATCTCTGAGTCCTGTACTTCGCAGCGCTCAGAATGCGCGCAGGTTCATTGACCGGTCACAATGGCGAGCCCGACAAGACGCTTGTATAACTTTCATTTTTTTTTTTTTTTTTGGTTGCCCCCACAAGTGACAGCACAGTAACGAATATTTATTTTCATGGCGACACTCCATTTGTAATGCCGAACCTGCATGTTACAATAAACGTTCTGTTATCAGACAATTACTGACAAATTTCTGGGTGGTAACGAAAGCGAAAGTAGATCTTGATTTTCTAGTCGAGCATTGGTGACACAATTCCGCTTGCCGCCAAAACCACTAGTTCGCGTGAAACGTACTCTCAGAGCCGAATTAATGTCACAATCGCGACCGGTAGAAATTAACTTAAGACTTTACTGGATTTGGTTTTCAAATATTTGAGATCTTTTATGTATTTTCGCGGGTCTCGGCGATTTTTTTTAAATTCCCGGGGCCTGGCAGTCACCCTGCTCCCCACAACTCTCTTTCTGATTGGCCCGCTGTCGCGGTAGCGGAGTTTAGCGGAAGAACTAGCGGTAGCGGAAATCCGCTAAATAGCGGACTATTGAGACGACTCTATTTCTCCGATCGGTTTACATTCTCAAAATTTGTTGGTTATTTGCGAATGTGTGTGTGTGTGTGTGTGTGTGTGTGTGTGTGTGTGTGTGTGTGTGTGTGTGTGTGTGTGTGTGTGTGTGTGTGTGTGTGTGTGCGTGTGTAAGGTGTGAACCAGTTGGGGGGGGGGGGGGGGGGTAGCGTATCGTGGAGGGATTTTTTTTTATGATGGATTTTTTTTAAATGAAGGATTTTAGTTTTTGCTTCAGGGGTGACTAAATGCAAAATTTACAGCCAAAAAGGTAATTGAGCAGTCTTGTTTTCTCGCAGTACAAACTGAAGGTATTTTCAAATTAAGTAGGTAGCCTATATAGATATCTAGTCCGGGAGTGTTGCCCCAATCACAATAATATTGAAGTGCTATCTGGATATTCAGACATTTAAAAATCTCTAGTTTTAGAAATTGAATTCGATGCAAAAAAAAAAAAAATGCTTTCGCAGTCCTCGCAGAGCGACAGAATGAAAGATTACGCCGAAATCTCTCAAATAACCAAAGAGAACGGAAACGCATTCGGAGAAATAGAGATCAAGTTTGTTTTCCCGAGCGTTCGGAGAAATAGTCACTTTGTTATTATTATCCTAGATTGTTCGGTATTCTTCTGTCTTGGGTGTCGCTCGTGCCCATGGTGCGCATAAATGCTTTACATCAAAGTCAGAACTTTATAGAAAATGTATGCAGAGCGGCGGCTCTGGGAGTGAGCTATCTAGGCTAGACTAGGCCTACATGTCTATGGATTTTCAATGTAATTTGTGAATTTTGAATTGTGAATTACCGCCCTTGATTTGGCCAGAGACACTAAAAATAGAGACTGGAAACGAGGCCTCTTTTCGCGTATCCAGGTCACCAGCTGATTGTGAAACGAGGCGCGGTAAACAAAGCTAATGGCGGCTATCGACAGTCGCAAGTCACCTGCAAGTGTAAGTGGTGTTTTGCGGCAGTCTGCGTCCGTGCCAATTCAAGATCGCATAAATACCAGACCTAGCATTAGTTAGCTTTCCAAAGGACCCTGAAATGTAAGAATTTGCACATGTACTTTTTCATTAACCTTACATAATATCGTTTTTCTCTTGTGTAGGCCTAACTAGACTAGAGAGATCTATCTAGATTTAGATCTAGATCTAGATCTAGATCTAGAATACCTAGATCTAGATCTAGACTTTAGACCTAAATCTAGAATCCTAGAGATATAGATATCTAGATCTAGATCTAGATCTAGATTCTAGATATAATCTAGATATAGATATCTAGATCTCTAGATCTAAATTAGATGATAGATTGTAGATCTAGTATCAGTGTCCAGGTCAATTAGATCTAGATCTAGAATCTAGTACTGAATCTAGATCTAGATCTAGAGTCTAGGTCTAGAAGTAAGGGCCTAATTAATGCAGTGGGCCTACTAGGACCAGATCTAGATCTAGATCTAGATCTATCCTTGGGGCTTATTATCATAGCATAGACCTAGTACATGTATAATGTTTGTCTCCACTACACTCCTTCCTCTACTTCTTCACAGCACAGGCGACAGTGCAGTCGATTAGCCTTAGTTCGTCACGTCATGCCAGTGCATGGGCAGGAGGACGAAACATTGTTAAACCTTACTAGATCTAGATCTAGATCTATAGCTAGCGAATAAAACACGTTTTTCTGGGGGCTCTGACCGTGGTCTATAGAGTTTAGAGCCTAGGTTACAGTGTTTGCCTCTCATTCAATAGGTTTGAAACATGACTGGGACAGACATTTTTCTTCTCTAAAGTTTTCTCTTTTCACCGCCCAGCTCTAAGTTCTGTCGTTTGTTTTTCCTCCTCACTTTCTGCCCCCCCCCCCCCCCCACTCACACACCCCTTTTGACTCCTCCTGTGGCGCATCTGGGGCTCCTGGCTCTTTCTGCAGCCTTTACTACTACTACATTTGTACTATTGCCACTCATTGGCCCCTTCTATCTGACTGCTGTCTCTTTCAGTCACCTGATCTTATGGTAAGTAAGATCTAACACATAGCCTTCTCGGATAAGGGCGAAAAATCTTGGAGGTCCCGTAAGTTGCGCAAGTTAAGGATCCCTTGGTGTTCTTAAAATCAAAAGAGTAGGCTAAACTTTGGCCCCCACCTGGGCAAAATTAAAAATTCTTACCAAACTGAAAAAGTTTAATGTGCCCCGCCTGTTCATATGAGACCTATGCTGTCGCAGGCGCAGTAAAGCGCCCCCCCCCCCCCCCCCCCCCCCCCCCGCCTTTCCTAAAAAAAAAAGAAAAGAAAACACGCCAAAAAAGTGTTTCACCCAGTGATCTGAAAGAATTTTTGCGGGATCACCCAGCACTGAGTTCCCCTTTATTTCTTCATCAGTTTGAGACTGATAAGTTCCATTTTTAAAAAGTTAAAAATTACATTATCATCGCCTTCATATTGATTTGGGGGGGGGGGTTACCCCCCAACACACACACGCACACACACACACACACACACACACACACACACACACACACACACACACACACACACACACACACACACACACACACACACACACACTCACACTGTAGACCTGAGACTGCATCTGTAGGCTATGTGGCGCTTTGACTCCATCTCTGCAGAACTGACTAGATAGAGTAGTGAAACATAATTATTTAGTAATTAATTTTTTTTTAAATTCAAGCTTCTCATCAGAATTAAACCAATCCAAATATGCCAGGCAAGATTCAACTTTATTGTATGAAAACTAGATCTAGATGTGGGATGAATGTCATTTAACTCTATCCCAAAAAAAATTTAGTTTTAAAATCTCCGGTAGATGTACTCACTAAAAACTGTTAGATCTAATCCATCAAGCACTTATATTTCTCTTTTATGAAATGAAACTAAATGAGTAGACCTATATTCTATGTATAGATCTATGAATTTTGCAATATTTAGAATCTAACTGCACACGTGAGAATATGGGCCACCACAGTGTATTATTTATTTTGAGCACCGGTCTTTTGTATAGGCCTGCTGTAAAACTCTGTGTTACAATCTAAGTTTTTCGCACCCCTACCAAAAAATTATAATTTATTTCTGATGTTTAAAAAAGTGGGTAATGAATAATCGGAAGGCTGACTTTGGTTCTTAAAATAGCATAAGTTACCTGTATGTGTACCATGGGAATGCATTGTGCGCTGAGCAATTTGAACTACTGCCTTTGGAAATCTGCATCTTGAACAATTCTAGTGCAGAATGCTGTGGCCATGCGGTTTACTGTTCCAAACCCTCCAAAATAAATAATTATTGTTCCCTCCAGGCCAGTTCCAAAGGATACAGGTCCTGTCCATGACAAAAGATCTAATAGTGTCTGCAATGTGATGTGAGAGTTTTGAAGAAGAAATTAAAAGTGGAAGAAAAAAAACCCCTTGACATCTAAGAAGACAATGTCCTGCTGTAATAAATGTACTACGGAATACATATAACAAAATTAAAGAAACAAAGAAATTACAAAGCTTACTTAATTAATTATGATTAAGTAAGGAAGTGCTAGCTTGAGCCTGTCAGGACCACCCTTGAATTTTGTAATGTCCCAAATTTATGTGCCTGACAGAGAAGTATGGACACAATATACAAAAGAATCAGCAAGAGACAATGCATACAGCAATACAGTCTAAGAAAGACTGTCACATTCACCCATTTAATTGTAAGAGCCAGTTTCAGTAAAATGCTATTAATCCATGAAAGATGCATTATATATGTTTATAACTCTGGTGAGTTCGATCTGTCGCTTTGTATTCCTGTTTTTATCCATATATGCCTAGCCTAGGCTACACAAAACGAAATCTGTTTTCTATTTCTACAGTCTGTATTGCCTTTTCTCACCCTTGCCTATAGGGATATATAGATCTGCTATTGCATGCTCTCTTTCTTTCCTCTCCAACTCTTCCCTACCCACAGACCCCATGCAGGGCTATGTAACTAATTAGTAAAATAAGTAAAAATGTATTAACCTTTATTAGGCTAATAATAGATAGCATTTGTATAGCGCATATCCCCGCTCAACAGCAGGCTCTAAGTGCTTTACACTATATTATTACCCCAGCAGACCATAGAACACTCCGAAACATTCTCAGCTTCCCGGGAAGGCTATCTTAAATTAAACTGCTTATGTTGTAAGCTAGATATCTAGATCAACGCATGTAGATCTAGATCTATTTAGGCTAAGGCAGGCATATTTTTATTATGCTGGAAATGGAAACCTATAGATCTAGAATCTAGATCTAGAGTCTTGATGACTTTTTTTTTCTTATGTAACTACTGACACTGTCGACTAGATAATTAGATCTCGATCTAGTTTTCGGTCTACATTATCAAAACATGTTTTGGTTTTATGCTAGATCGACATTATTTTATAACTTGGCCTAGATCTAGAATTCAATTTTAAAATCTGTTGTCCTGTTTTCATCAACATGTGTAACCTTTTCTGTAGACCAGAAGAGTATAGAATTGTAATTGTAGAGGCATTGTTTACAAATGCAACCTTGGCCAGTTCTCTGATTGCGCTAGGCCTAAGCTGCAGAAAGCTAGGCCTAGGCCCCGCTAGACGCGACGCGCTTCGTTTCGATAAGGCCTAGGCTAGGCCTAGGCTAGACGCGACGCGCTTCGCTGTCGATACCGCGCCTGGTTATTTTTAGCTCGCGTCTCAGCGGTCACGTTCGCAAATGCACTGTTGTCACGGACCGCGAGACCTCGTTTCCTGTCTCTATATTTTAGAGTCTCTGATTTGGCTGAAACGAATAAAAATGAAAGCGGCGGTTTGTTTGTAAACAAAAATATCTCTACATTCATGTATTATGACTAGATCTAGATCTAGATCTAGATCTATGTGTTGTTAACTTATGACTTATAAACTAAATCCCGACAACAACCAGGAGCAGTGAAAGGGGCAAAATATCCAGACAAACCAAATATTGATCCTCTGAGTTCGTTTCTGCGTGAATAGTAGAGGATATCTGGGGACAAGACTACTGAGAACACCACAGACTGAGCTGAACGGAGGCCGAACGAACTCGAATCGTGGTGGTGGAGGAGTGTGTAAATTTGTTTGCCGAACGAACGTTGGCTACGTTTTATTTTCATGGTTCGTGAGATGAAGAGAAGGTATGTAAACAAAAAAGACCTGCACTCACTCGAGGCCTTCTGGTTTACTTGAAGCTTTAATTTTAGCTAAAGCTAAAGCTTTTTCTTTGTATGTATGTTTACCCTTGGCCACTTAGACTTAGACGACTTAGTATCTTAGTTTAGTACACTCTTCACGCAGTTTTACCCGTTCCTGGGTCGCACCATCATCCATGCCCATGGCTTCATCGGTCATCAGTGAAACTTTTAAAGCTGTACATTCATTTCTTCATTGTTTGTTGCTTGGTGAGTAGGGCAGACGTGGGCCTATAACCCACCTATACTATAGATATGCCTATGCCTTTGGCTTTAGCAAGTCAGTTCAGATGAGCCACTGGGTGATATAATTATAGTCCTACTGGGCTAAGTCCTACTCTAATACTCTACTGCACTCTACATGAGCATCATTGTGCTGCCATCAAAAACACCGGACACAGCATTGATGATTGAATTGTGACAGTTGCTAGTTGTTTTTTCGTACCATACCAGTACCAGTCAGTCACCAGAGCCAGAATGGAGTGCACACTACCTCGCCATTATAGACAGACTGACCTGGTACAGGTCACTGCTTAAACAGTCTGCTGTCTGTATCTAAACCACAGGTTTTTCACAAATGGTGGAGATTTGGGATTCTATACAATGGAGAAATTTCACAAATGTTATGATCATATGTAGATCTATACATAAATCATTAAATGTGAGTCATCATGGTGAAATCAGGCGCTCTTCAAAATTAGACAGCTGGAGTCTGCTCGACTAATCGAAGGCTTGCGAGCAGCGGACAGCTTGCGCTAGAGGCTTGCGAGCAGGCTTGTGCTTTGCTTTGCCTCCCGCTTGCTACCGGGGGAACTTCCGGTGAATTGTGACTCTCAGACAGTCTTGCTCTACTGCGTCGTGACGTCGCGACTCTCATGGCTGTGGGCTCAGTACATATTACAGAAGATTCTGGTTATTTGCTTTGAGAGGCTTGCACCAAAAGTGCAAGATTGTTTTTTTTCCATAGTCGGGTCGTAAAAAATAAAATAGCAATGCCAATGAAAATTTAAATTTTCACTTTAGCCCTTTTTATTTTGGTACCTAAGAAAGAATTTTCAATTCTAAGAATTATGCTTCTTGAATTTTAAGAATCGGTTCATAAATAAAAAAGTTATGGGGTTGTAAAGGTCGGCAAAATATGGATGACCCACATATAGGAAAATACTCCTAAAAAGTTTGGTAAAAAAACAAAAAACAGTAGCAGATTCTGTAAGAAAATCGACGATATCTCGGTAACTAATCAGTGTTCGAGAGAAACTTGGCTACCCGATGTGTTTTTGAATGTAGAAATAATTTCTGCAGTCAGATTTACTACCCATTTCGTAGTTATTTTGTTATAATTAAAATTTTGGTATACATACATTACGATTTTGCGAAAAAGGGGTGTCGGGATGAGTCCATTTTTAATACATTTTATTTATAGCATCGTATCACAACCTGGGATCTTTAAGAATATATGTCGGCAGCGTGACTAAATAATTGCAAAGCTTTTTATGATGACTTTAGACCATGCCAACCTTAAAAGATAAGTTAATTCAATCTAGCATGCCGTACAATTAAAAATTCCGTTTCCCCGTTGAGACGCGAACACCCCGAGACGAGATAACCTCGCCTCGGAATACCCCCATTGCGATGTTACAGGGGAATAGAGAGAAAAACAACCGGATGCGCGCGCGCGCCATTGCCCTATTTCAAGTGACCAATGAACGGGCCCGGAATAGTCAAGCGGGGATTTGTAGGTCACATACATTTGCCACGAGAGTGAAGGGAAAATGGCCGGTCTCCGTGCGAAGCCGCTTTGGATAGGGGGGTAGTTGTGCATTTATGATCGGGTCTAAACAACTACTTGACACAGAACGTTCAAATTTGAGCACACTATAGAGGATAGATAGATCTATTACCATCTGGGCGTTGAAATTCAAACTCCTTATAGTTTTCGGTGTACACGATGCAAAAGTGTTCCCGACACCAAAAGTATAGGTTAATTTATGTGTACGAACTTCAACGTCCACATATATTTAGTTTGCCCTATTTTCTGATTGGTTGCCGAGTTTCATTCGGATTGGTTCGGAAATAGAGCAGACCGAGGTTGACAAAGTTAGTCACCTACACTTCGGCTGGGTCCGCAAAATCGCCCGTAAACGGGGACAAATTTTCGCCGTGCGTGAAAGCCCGATTGGCATTGCTAAATAAAAAGCTCTATTCAATGCACTTAAAAATTAATAATGGATCGGCTATTCTTACGATGCAAAGGCCTGTGTGTTTTTAATGTGCACGAGCCAAGCGCTTCGTCGTCGCACTCAAAAGACCTCAGTTCAATTCCTGTATGGGAAGAAATTTTTACCGAGAACCTCCGTCTTTCTGCTAGTGCATTGCTCCCTCTCAGCCCAGGTTGGCCCTGACACTGGGTTGAAGTAGGCCTAGCCCGTCTCCTAAATGTTCTGTATAATGTCACTGTGAATGTAAAACATCTACATGCAATAGGTTACATAAATACGATACAAAAGCCAATCACAACGACCCCTGGAGTTTTCCATTCTAGGGTAATCTAAGTCTACTTATTCTTATTACTACCAGAAACCTAGGTCTCTGTTACTGCAATACCACACTCCCTCTCACTTATCCACTCGCTAAGCTGATCAGCGGCGGGAAGTTAAAAATAACTTCGGCTCTCTACGTCTTGCACCAAACAAGCACAGCCTCTCCCTTCCTCCACGGTTCAGAGTTCACACTGCAAGCGGTCTTGCTGCTCGCTGCTACAACAAGTCAGCCAAGTGATTTGCCAGGTTGCGAGCTGGTACTGGGAGCCAAAGCAAAAAATGGGAGCCGAGAGACTTGCCGGGCTGTGAGCAAGTCACTGGCACAAAGCAAGACAATGGGACTCATGGGACTTGCTTTGCTGCGACCGAGATTTGAAACTTGACGGCTGTCCGCTGCTCGCAAGCCTTCGGTTAATAGAGCAGACTCCAGCGCTACGCCGCGCAGTGACACTGTGAGTGGAATCTCTCACTCTCCCCCCCCCCCTCTCTCTTTTTCTGACGTAAGTGGCTTCGCGGATTGCAAGCAGGATGGGGAGGATGAGGGGGTCTGACACGAGTGGCTTCGCGAGTTGCTAGTTGGTGTGGACTTGAAGCTTAGGCTAGACTCAACTTATCATGCTGGTGATTTGATTTGATGATTTGACCTAGTGGTTTGAGGTCATCTCGTCACACCCCAGTTATGTGTGACGAAATGACTTCGTTTTCTCTCCGAAATTGTCATGCTTGTAAAGTTTGGGAGGATCAGCACCAGCGCAGTCTTTATTCTCAATCATCAATTTAAACACGAAATCGTTTGGCCGTGTCCTCTTGTTTTTTAAGTAACTTAAGCCTAAAGCTTTTTTTTAAAAGTTAAATAAATTATTAATGTAAATTAAATCTTCGTCTGAGCTGTTCCATAGTTGAAAAATAGTTTGAATAAGGCGAAAACAATGTCTGGTAAAGAGTTAGTACCGTCGTAAGGCTTCACATTTAAAAGCAAGGGTCTAGCTTTTAGCAAAATTGCAGTACATCTAATTTATTTTTAACAGAACTAATATGATCTTGCCAATCACACTTCTCAGCAGTAACAATGATACCTAAAAACTTTGTTGATCTGACTAGAGATATTTCAATATTGTCAATACATATTTTACAGTTTTTGAATCTATTCTTAATTCTTGTGGATTTGGCACGGTAGTGACGAAATGACCGTGTGACGAAATGACTGGTACTCGTCAGTTCAATAGCACATTTCTGTGGGGATTTTTCTGAAATACATTGATTAAAGGCACAAAAAATGTAAATTTTCAGTTCACAAAGACTCTTAATCAACTATAGAAGTCACCAAACTTTGGCAGCCATTTTCTCACTACTTATTAAATAAGTTATTTTATCTCTGGAAAATCAGGCGACGCCACTTCCTTAAATCAGAAGTGTCTCAACTTCTTTTCAAGTTAGATGGACATTTTTTTTTAAATCAAAAGATAGACAAAAATAAACAACTTTTTGGATGACACCCAAATCTCCACATGGCCAAAAATTGATGAGCACCTGATTCCACTGCATCGTGACATGTGATGTAACATTATTCATTAAATTTATACTGTAACAATTTATCCACCCTATTGTATTGGGGTTTTTTTCAATTAGACTCCGATGTTCAGCAGGTGTTTCAAACTTAAAAGGAATTCTGGGTACCCTTGCTTTTATTGAGTACTATTTTTTATTAATTCAATAAATATAATAAGTGGTTTTACATGGTTAATTTTTAGATCAAGTTTGAAATGCACTACACACTTTGTAACCAAAACACTTAATTAGGCCTACTTTTTTTCAAAACTATGCATTACTTTTTTTTTGGGGGGGGGGGGGCAGTTGACGAGGATGGTTATCTAGTTGAATTCCTCCTTAGATCTTTACTCTAGAGCATTTCTTTTTGTTCATGAACCTTGTGAATGGCAATGTTGCAATGTTTATAAAGAAAAGAATTGATTCTTATCAGGAGTAAATGCTGATGGTAAGACACTGTAAGGTGGTAAAATGATGGAGTAAAGTGTCTGATATATTTGTATTCTGTGCCCCGATACCGGCGAACTTGTAGATGTTGTAAAATGACTTCTAAATAAGTAGGGCCAGACCTGTTATCTTGGCTTCATGTGCTGCTGTTAGTTTTCTAATTTTACATTCTGGTTTTATTCTGTTTGAAGGCAAAAACTCTTCGTTCTGGTGCAGATGTATATATATATATTTGATCTTCTCTGTATTTGTTGGATGGAAGTGTTGGTCAAGACAACATAAATGATCTTTCCTGTCAGTTCAGCTAAAACCTAATTTCCTTTCTCTAAAAGCTCAGTGTAAATTCCATTACCATTACAACTCTTATCATTTCTTGTGTTAATTTACTCAGAACAGAATGATTATTATTGATTATATAAAAGGTATGAATGATATGTTAATATATTTACTCACAATGGAGTCCCCTTTTTCTCTTATTTGGAGCTCTGTTTTTTTTATTACATGATATAGTTTATAATGCAGTTTATCTGTTGCTTCATGCTATTAGAGACTCGCGTTGCTTGCTTGCATCATGCACAATTCCGCCTTGGAGATTTTGGTGAAAGAAGCTTTATAATTTTTAAGCTTTAATTCAGATAGCCTACATGTCATTATATCATCAACAATTCCTCAACGGGTCTATTTGACTTGTTCTGTCCTCAGTGTGAATTTTATGAGCTTTGGCCTTGTCTGTTAAGTAAGCTTGTGGGGCAGATGCCATCACCGGACTCTGGGTTGTATTCCCATCTCCTTTTACTCTGAATATTTGTGTTCCGAATGATGTTTTTATCCCTTACTCTGTTGGTTGGTGTTTTTATCCATCATTTGTGTTAATCTCAGCAATCATGTTATTTTCAGTGCTGCTTTCAAGAGCACGACCAGTGTGAAACAGTTCAAGTCCCCTCTTGCAAAGCAATTTAAGTCGCCTTTGACTAAAGCTGTAAGTACCTCTGCGATCAACAATTGAGATTAAATTTGATTGAATTAGTTTGTTCATGGTTTTTTTTGCTAGCACTGTTTTTCTAGACCAGTGTCTGTGGTATAGTGGTTAGGTGTTTCGCTGTCGCATGCAGGAGACACAGATTTGATTCCCGAATGAGGAGAAGTTTTATTATGTATCTCAGTGTTTCTGCTGGGAAGTTGTAAGTGATGTAAGCCTCTCAATCTCAGATCTGGTTGGCCCTGACATGCATTGTGGGAAACCTGCCTCCTGAAAAGTCTAAATTGTGTCAATGAGGGTGTAGAAACACCTACATTAGAATTTTTTTTCCTATTTTTTTCCTATCTCTGTGGGTGGAATTCAAATTCTGTTCAAAGGTAGACCACGGGTGAATGGAGGACACTACTGGTAGGTCCTATTTCTTTTCTTTCCCTCTGTTGTTCGTGTGTTTCTCTCGTAATTCTTCCCAGCACTAAATGACCATTATTGTTTGGGTGGACTTCTCTTTAATCTAACAAGCAAACTAACAAAGTAGACTAGAGGCATAAAACTAATTAAAGCTTGCAAGCATAGATTTGGGAGTTAGAACTGCACTTGGGGATAGAAAAAAATGAACAGATCCCAGCTATTTGTATCTATGACTATGAGATGGAGAGTTTAGAATTTTGACTGCACTGGTTATGTTAAAGATGCCCCAAAGTTTTGAGTGTCAGTGTGCGTCTTGAATCCCACATTTAGTTATCCATTTCTTTCTTTGGATGGTTGTTGGGGGGTTCTCTCGTGTGGTTTGCTCCTTTATTTTATCAAATGTTTATCATCCTTATTTCCATTCCTTCTTTTCTTCATAATATACTCTAATAGGACCTCTAATCTTCAGCTCCTATATGACATAATTGGGTTGCAAGTGCTGTAAAACTCTTACTAAAACTAAATCATCCTTTGACCCGGATTTACAGGCCACTCTTTTTCCTGCCAGCTCCTTGTAAATCTTTGTTGACAACAGCTGCAATGTTGAACGCTTGTGTTATCTGGTTCATGCATTAACGCACTTTCTGTTGATGATAGATAATGTGAACTTAGGCGACCATGAAATCAAGAAATCTGTAAGGTCCAGTGAGCCCAGTGCTTTTCGCCCACCATGCATTGCTCAGTGATATTTTCTTTATCCCTTAAGGTATTGTTCACGTTCTGGAAGTATTCTTGGTGGGAGTTGGAGGCCTTAATTTGTATTTTCATGATATTGGTGTACTCTGTCTTTTCGATTTCTTGGACTTTAGTTTTTGGAATGTCACTGTGCAGGTCTTCGTGGTGGTGCGCCCCCCCCCCCCCCTTTCTTTTACAAGGGCAGACTTCACTGTCAGTATTTAGATGTGGGCTGCATATTGTTTTTCTGCCATTTTGTGACTTCTTTCAATTGTAGATTTTAAGAGGAGCCAAGGTTATTTTGGGTTTTTTCATGTGTAGGCCTATCTATAGTTTTGTTGCTTGTCTTAAGAGCTTGCCTTTTTTTCCCAAATGTAGAGATTTATCAGGACACTACTGTTAATGTATGAGGGTCTCGCCTTTGTGCTTAACCTTTCATTAATTTTTTTTTTTTTAAAGTTAAGGACCAGTATCTGTGGTGTAGCAGTTAGGCATTTTGCTGTCGCCCACAGGAGACCTGAGTTTGATTCCCAAGTGAGGAGAATTTTTATTGAGTGTCCGGGTCTTTCTGCTGGGATTTTATATTATATCCCATTTATCACGGTTTGGCCCTGACAGGCAATGTTGGAAGCCCGCCTCCTAAATTGTCTCGAGGGGGGGGAGGGGGTTAAAAACACCTACATTTTCATTTTTTAAGTTAAGCCATTTACTCAACTGTGGTTTAAATTTCCTAAAAGTATCTTCTGGGTCTGCTTTCAGTGCTCACAGAGAGAGGCCCCATCCTCAGCGTCGGAAGCGAAGCAACAAATTGAACATCTCAAGAAAAAGTTGCAAGAGACTAAAGAAGATATCACGGAGTTGGAGTCCAGGCAAGTGATGTTCTTTCCACATTTGTCCTCTTCAGTTCTCCTTTCTGCTGTGGACCAGGAGTCTCAGCTTCTCGGCCTATACTATGGGCCAATCGAGTCCCTCGTGATGATATTTTGCAGCCCCTATTACTTAACATCAAACAGTCCCCGTGGGTTTTGTGCAAAAAAAATTATGAAATTATGCAAACTGAGCCCAAAAATGTGAAATTATAATGCAATTCTGTTAATTTTAACAAAGAATGATAAAGGAAAATAATCAGAAATTATTTTTTAAATGATCAAATTTTCCTAAATATTATGCGGGGTGCATAAGACCACGGGGACAGCATCAAAGTATTGTAGTTTTGTGTTAGTGCAGCCTGCCCCTTTGTGCCAAGGCGTGTCCCTAGATTTTTAGATTTTTTTTATCCCTTATGGGCCACTATCATAGCTTAGGCTCATGACAGCCTTTTGTTGTGGTGATTGTTTATAAATTTTAAACATGATTTCAAAGTTGTAATTTTTTGAAAATACTTTAAATCTTTTTTTAAAAAGATTTTTTATGGAATACTTGATGCCGTCCATGCTCAGCCACTCCACTTTTCTTTCCGACTGTTGTTGCGGTCTGTCTGTCTTACTTTTTCCTTTTTCGCTCTTTGACTTTACACTTTGTATGTTACTCTCTAGTAACACCTCTAATCTTTGGCACCTCTTGTATGATGTAGGGTGTTTCAAATGCTGTAAAACTCTTACTTACTCAGACTGAAAAAAATAACCCCCAAAAACCTGTTATTTTTCTTTCTACCTACAGAGGGTTAAGAGAAAGTGAGCTCCAGACGCACATTGAAAAGCTGCACGAGTATAACGAGATCAAGGATATAGGACAGATGCTGCTTGGAAGAATCGGTCAGTGTTTGAACTGCAGTGGAATCCACGTAAACCAAAACCTAAAGGACTGCCAAATTTTCTCTTGTTTAACCGGGTTTTCGGTTTAGTAAACCTGCTCAAAGAGAAGAAAAAAATTGGGGATTTTCTTTTCTTTCAGTTTTCAGCTGTTTTTTGGGGGGTTAACTGTGTTCTGTTTCAGCTGACTCCGTTGTAGATTGATGTGGATAGCTCCCAACCAGTACTTAACTGATTCCGTCCATGATTTTTTCAGGCTCTAGACATAATTATTTTTCCTTGTTCAGTTTTAGACCTGGGGTGCATTTATTTAATGCATTACTGTGAAGCTCTAAGTTACTCTAATAGGTATTGTCATATACCAAAGTGATGGGAATCTATAGAGGAATCTGTTTATATCAATAACAATGATCTATAATCTGTTTGTATTGTATTTTTCGTCAGACAAAAACGAATGGGGGAAAAAAATTGCGCAACACCTCTTCAAAAATTACGACTTACCGCATTTTCTCAGCTCTACGAGTCTTTATAATCCATAGGAATCAACACAAACTTGTAACGATATCACCCGAGCACACATTTATGTAAGCATTTCACAAATTTAGTTGAATATCTTTCTTTGAAGGGCTTTTTTATTACACCAGGCTACGCGTTGTTTACCCTTAGATCTAGCCTACATAGAAAATTTCCCGGAGTTTCGATCGATATTGGCGCTCAGAGATTGAGGTCAGGTTTGTTTACAAGTTCTACTTCCTTTCGACAACTAAAAAAAGTAGGAACTAAGTTAAAAAGTGCTCATTTGTTTCGGATTTCGTTGAGCCGCTCACAGCGGTCGAATGGATGCAGCGGAAAAGTGCAGAGCCGCTGTCAGCGGCCGAATGGACGGAATCAGTTTAAAAACGTACAGTCGGGCACAGATAACATGAACTTGGAAAGCTCGAAATCACAGATAGCTTGTACAATTTGCCATTCTCGGGCTGATGTCTCTTGGATATTTTGTTGCAAAGTTTACCCGAATTATGGATGTGTTGCACACATTTGTCAGTCCCTGATGTATTGAGTTATCTGTGCTTTGCTGTATTTAATGTAATATTTTTAGGGCCTTAGTGCAGAAGTCCATCATTTTTGTGTTGGAAAATATGTATTCCCTGTTTTTTAGTATAACTTTTCTCGCACTTGCAGATGGTTATAAAAAAGTTATGGACTTGGCAAATAATAATGAGCACAAAGCCCATGAGTCTGTTGTAGTTGTGTCCCATACCATAAGGGCACGGATTTATGGAATGCAGAGAGAACCACGTGCAGTGTGACGGGTTTGGGAGGGGGACAACTTGGTCAATGACCAGAGTCTTGACCTGCCTTGAGGATAGAGTAGTTTTTTTTGTTTTGATGTTGATGTTGTTAGCGATCCTGTAGCTTCTGAGCGTTAACTCTTCTGCATGATGCCATTCGGTAATAGCTGCATGTCTGTTCTAATTGTTGTCTTGAGGAGTAGAGGCAGTTAGATGTGTGGGGTAGCTTGGGAAGAAAACATCCCCTTAAATCAGTTTTCTACAAAAGAACAGATGATGTTCCACTGTCTCTGAGGGGTAGTCACATAGTGGGCAGGCAGCAGACTGCTTTACTCCAATTCGGTTGAGATGTTGGTTGAGGGGTACATGTTGTGTTCTAAGTTGGAAGGTTATAGATTGATCTCCCCTCCTCAACTCATTGATTGGATCTTTGACCAGTGGTTTATTCATGTGGCCATACATCATCCTTCCTCTTGTACCTGTGGCCCAATCGTTCATCCACTCTTCCTTGAGGTTTGACTTGATCATCTGGCAGCAGGTGGTGTAATCAGTAGGAATTTCAGGCTGAGGGAGGCTAGCTCCTTTCTTTGCCAGAGCATCAGCTCTTTCATTTCCCGGTATCCCAGTGTGGGCAGGAATCCATTGTAGGACTACTCTGATCTGGTGCCTACTTATCAAATGATGTAGACTCCAAATCCAGTGTGATATATCTCTGTTCACATCAGTCCCACTCTCAAGTGTCTCTAGTATTGAAAGGCTGTCTGTAAATATAACGATGTCTGTGGTAGCAAGTGGGTTAGTGTCAGTTTTGGTTTTGATAAGTTGGCAGCTATGAACATTGTTCTGTAAGTGTTGCCGTTTATAGGATATTTAGAGATTTCTATAAGCCTTTGAGCTAATGTATGTAATGTGGTTCTGTTAGTGTTGCTGTTAAAAGTTCTCTTGTTAAGTCCCTGAACTTTGAATCAACGCTAGCCAGTAGAAGGCTTCGTTTTTACAACTTGTTTTTTATTTTACTCTAGGGTGTAGGGCGTTGACTTTTTGCTTGATTGTTACAAAATAAAATATTGTCTTTGTTGTGAATGGCAGGATGAAGTTAGTAAGGCGCATTATTTTTTCTGTGAAATGACATCAAGTGAATGGTTCTATCCTTCCCGGGGGTCTTTGGAAGATAATTCTGTTAAATATTTACAGTGAACTACTCTGTTGTATACAATTTATACAGTGTGAACTCTCCCAATATAATTCATTGATAGGAGTTGGCGCTAGTTTGAATTTGATTTCCCTTCATGAATGCAGCAAAAGTTTCCATCTTGGCATAATTTGATGGAACTGTCCTTGATTTCTACTTTGACCTTCATAATCAAATGTATTTGGGTTTTCAAAGTCGAGAGTCTAATTGGTCGTATTGTGCCACATGGTAGCTTTTGCATCTCCGTGAAGGAAAATCTGACTGGCCACAACTCAGTCTGATCGAATCCTATTGGCAGTGTGTGCTGGGTAACAAGTCTTTTGTTCAGATTTTTATAGACACGTGTTATCTTATACGAAACAATGGATAGTTGGCGGGTGCTCTGGTGTGGTTTGCTTGAACTTCTTTCCTATCAAACATCTATCGTCCTTATTCCTCCTCCTTCTTTTATATGTTTGTTACTCTCTTGTAACACCTCTAATGTTCTGGCGCTCATATGACCTTATGCAGTTGCGAGCGCCGTAAAACTTTTAAAAAATCATACTAAACAGATGCTGATTCCCAGGTTAGTAATACTCCTGCTTCCTGCCCCCCCCCCCCGCAAATATTTGTTACTTTAAAGGGATAATGGGACATATGGAATAACTTTCATTCATTTCGTCTGACTATTTCTAACCATGTGCTTTTTGTCTGATCTCTCTACAGCTGTGCTTGAAGGCGTGCAGACAAAGGATCTGTATGAAAAGTATGGACTGAATTTAAATGACTGAAAATAGATTGCACTGAAAATAGGTTACATGTAGTAGTTTGATTGTCTCTAGTGTCTCAGATGGACTTTTCTTTCTAAAACTTTTTTGTGTGTGTGTGTGTGAAATATTTCTCATAAGTTACATTTCCGTAATTGTTAAACTGCTGTTGATGTAAATTATTGTACTATTGTGTGCTAGTGTTAACTTGCAGAAGTAACATTTCCATAATTGTTAAACTGCTGTTGATGTAAATTATTGTGATATTGTGTGCTAGTGTTGACTTGCAGAAGTAACATTTCCATAATTGTTAAACTGCTGTTGATGTAAATTATTGTACTATTGTGTGCTAGTGTTAACTTGCAGAAGTAACATTTCCATAATTGTTAAACTGCTGTTGATACTTTGCGCAAGTGTCAACTCGGGGAGAAAAAAACATTTTCACAGTTGTTTAACTGCTTTTGATGTAAATTATTGTAAAACTGAAGTTGTGCGCAGGTGTTTACTCGAAGAGGTAACATTTTCATTATTGTTGAACTGCTGTGGATGTTGAATTGTGAACACAAGTGCTCACTTGGAGTAGAAGTAACATTTTCTTAACTGACTGTTAGTATAAAAATAGTGCGCAAGTGTCGATCGACTTACTGGAAGGAATCATGGCAAAGTCACCTCAGAATTTGGATTCCGATCTCCAGTGGCATCTCATTGGTGGCGTAGAAGAATTAAAACAGAAAGTATGTCGGAAAGTCTACATGCAGGGCGGCCAGGGCCTAGCGCTCTTCTACGTGGCCCCAGACAAATTCTTCCTGACAAACTCCACGTGCCCGCACGCCCGCGGTCCACTGGAGCAGGGAGACATTGAAGACATCGGCGGCAGCTTCAAGGTCGTGTGCCCTCTGCACTATTACAGCTTTGACCTGGTTACTGGACAGTCTGCTACGGGCCTCACGCTGCGCACGTACAAGACTGAGGTCAGAGAGGATGGTTTGTACGGACTCACGCCGTTCCCTGTGTCCCTTACCAGATGACCTCTCACCTCCTGACCTGGGATGAAGTTCAGGTGTCTGACTTCTGATCAAGTGGAGGACTCAGTGAGGATGAAGGTTGTGGTTGGGGGGGGGGGGGGTTGTTTTGTTGGGGTTTTTTGTTGTTGTTTTTTGTTTTTTGTTTTGTCTTTTCTGGGGGGGGGGGGGGGGTGATCCTATCTTTACTTTTTATGAGGAGTGGAAGGGTGATCTATCTTTTACTTTTTAAGGAGGGTGGGGTGAATGAAACTAGAGTGCTGATGAGTCACCAAAGACAGTTAGTCAAGAGGTGTTTTTTTTAAGTTGAAAAAGAGGTTTTACGGCGCTTGCAACTGCGTACGATCATATGAGTGCCGTTGTTAGTCAAGAGTGAGTTAAGGGTAATTTTTGAAGGGCTCAATGGAAAAAACAGGTGATATCACATTTTTTACATTCTGAGATATTTGTTGTTTTTTAAGTTTGAAGACTCATAGATCTAGTTATGAAACACTGTCAATATATTGTAAGTTAGGTTGTAGAGCGAAGGAAATGGCACCACCAACATAATCTTCTTCAATGTAGGACAAAATTGTAATGTAGGCATAGAATGAAAAAGACAACACCCTTATATTACAACAGTGAGCAATGACTCACTCCCCGGCGTTGGCACGATGTCATTGACTTTGAATTTCAAATAACAGACACAGTTCGCTGTCTTTAGAAAATCGTCTTCTTCTTCCAGAGGCAACCTGCCCATGAAGAAGATTATCCTCGGTCTGAGCAGGATCTGAGCAAAATCTTGTTAAGCTCAGCAGGTCTTTGAATGTTTCCCCGGCCACTGAGTCACTGAGCATTCCTTCATAAACACTCGTGAGGGGCATATGTACAGATGTTTTAAACTAGCACAATCACCAAAATGCCAGTGTGGAGAGGCGGACCAAACTGTTGAACACATCCTTCAGCACTGCAAGACACACAGGGCCCTGAGACAGGAAACGTGGCCAACCCCACTGACGCTACAAGAGAAGCTATACACGGGCCGACGGATGTACTGAGCAGGACGGCCCAATTTATGACATATACCAGACTTCAAGTGTGATGCCATCGAGAAGAAGAAGAAAAATTTGTGAAGGGGTTCAGGGCTGTTGGTGGGTGCTCTAGTGTGGTTTGCTCCTTCATTTCTGTCAAGCATCTATCACCATCCTTAAATCTCCTTTTTTTTGGGTATGTTACTCTCTAGCACTGGGGCAATATGAAGATCTACTGACCACAGTGAAGAGACGAAAATTAAAATGGTATGAGCATGTCACAAGATCCACAGGACTTGCCAAAACAATCCTGCAAGGAAAGAGAAAGAGAGGAAGGCAGAGAAGGAGATGGGAGGACATTACAGAGTGGACAGGAAAGACGATGGGTGACAATATGAGGAAAGCAGAGGACAAAAATAGATGGCGAGAGCTGGTTTTCCGATGCAGTGGTGCCCCAACGGTTGCCCCAACCACGGGATAGAAGAAGACTCTCTAGCAACAACTAATCTGTGGCAATTATATAACTTTACAGTTTTCCAAGTGCCGTGAAACTCTTACTAAAATGAAAACGGGTTTTCGTGCTTAGTGACAGTGCTGTCAAAAACTGGGCCATACCACGTTTCCCCAATAGGCCTAGTTCATTGACTTTGTGGAATCGACAGTGGAAACCTCTTCTTAGCCCAAGTTGGCCTGGCGGCCAGGGTCAAAACCCGCTTTGTAAATAATTTTCTAAATTGTGTCAATGAGGTGTGTAGAAAACATGTACCTGTTTAAAAACTTCTTTCCATTCTTTAGCGTCATGTTGGTCAACTGAGGAACTGCCTGGTGGCTGGTTATGGCCATTTTGACCTGCTAGTTCTGTTTCCAACTTTGTGCTACTGCCAGGGTAAGGCAGAGTGTGTGAATGGTTCAGTCACTGTGCTTCTTGTATACACGTGCATTGTCACAACTGTTATGTTTTATTATCACAACTGTTATGTTTTATTATCACAACTTTTATGTTTTATTATCACAACTTTTATGTTTCTGATTGTCTTAAAAGTGTATGTATTAGTATTAAGATCAGACTGTGATACTGGTAAGAGATGCAGAATGTGAAGTTTACCCTGTATTAAACTTGTCAGGATATTTTCCTATCAGAATCAGGATACAAGAAGCTGTTTTCTGTTCCCCAAATTATAAATATAATCTGGTTTTGGTCTATTAAATAATAGGATATATCGTCTTATATACTTTTTAGTTACTCCAGACTTTATGAATTGTAGATCTATAGAAAGGCAAAAACAGTTTCAATTCACTGACAATCAAAATTTCATAGTATTACATGAGCCGTTCTCAAAAGGAGAGTGTGAGGAGAGCTCCTTTTTTTTTTAGTTTAGCTCCATCATCCGTGGCAATGGGCAAAGAACGCAAAAGGAGAATGTGTATGAAATTATTAGACTTTTTCTGTTAAGAAATGACGAATAGATTCTTCTATCTTAAGTAATAGGAAATCGGACAATATCCCAACTTGATGAAAGAATGTTGCTGTAACAGTACCGTAATGGTTTTGGGAAGTGCTGCACTTTTTCTGTTTATAAAATGTTGCACTTTGCATCATCACCATCACAAGTTACGATGGGTGTAAGATACTACGCAATTTGTAATACCAATATTTCGTCGGCAAGCTGTTAAAATGCATTAAGAAGACTGTACTAAGACAGTAAAACAAAGCTTTTTAGTAGATAGAAAAAAACTGTTTCATTCTTTTTAACAAATTGTAGGCCCCTACTTCTGCATATTTTTTTCTTTCAACATTTGAAATTTGAATTTCAACAAAAATTTTGTTTGAGCACATGTAGATCTAATCACCATCTATACCACAAATTAATTAAGAAACTAATTTTTTGGGGGTTAATTTTCAAAATTTCTGGCTTTTAACAGCTGGTGGACGATATAATGCAAATGTGTCACGACGCGGTGGACTCAGGCTCTCGTCAATTTTTGGGCATATGTAGAGTTATTGGTATCATCTTAAATCTTGTCCATTAGCCTTGCCTTACTAACTTACTTTGGGAGAAAAAAATATCCATTTATCTTGAATACAAGTTGAGATATTTGCAAATGAAGAAGGTGGAAGTCACCTGGTTTCAGAGGTAAAATTAAAAATTAGTTAGAAAATGGCTGCCAAATATTATTTATTACCTTTACTTGAGAGTCCGTGGAAACTGAAAATTTACATTTTTTTGTACATTTAATTAATGTTTTTCCGTAAAATCCACACAGAAATGTGGTCTTTAATGGACATACTATTAATAAAAGGTGTTGAGCCACAAAAACTCAAAATTTAATTAAAATTCTCAAAATTGCGGAAGCCAATTTCTTTACTTTGATTATAATTTTGACAAGCGCCTGATTTCACCCCGCCACCTCACAGATATGTGTTATATTATATATATATTTTTGTTAAAATGTTATTGAGTACTATTATTAGTACTTTAGTACAAATCTTGTTTCTACTTACCTACTTTACTATCCCGGCCTCTGTGACCTCATAGTGTCGAGGGGAGAAGCAAACGTTTTTCATAAATTGTTTGTTGTATCGCCTGTTGAATTATTTTTATTTAGTGTTTCTCTGACCCCCTCTCCTCTATCCGTCTTTTCTTGGTGCTGCCTCTTCCTTTGTGTCCATTTCCCCCCCGGCGGTGCCACTGAGTGACTGACTGTGACTGAAGTGTCTTTAGGCCATTCCCAAAGTGGGGGACATTTCTCGTTCATACACAGTAGAATTGTAAATGGGCTGATTCATCATGTCACGCTCATAACTGTGCCTGATCTACAACAGGGAACTGCTGATGTTTGTCACACTCTTGTGACCCACTATTTCTGAGGTGCCTTGATAGTCGAAGCAGGCCTTGTACTGTTGAAGCTAGAGAGGTGAGCAGAGTAAGTCTGATTCCCTGTAAGGACTTCTCTTTTGACATCCACCCCTTGGCCCTCATATGACCTTATGCAGTTGCGAGCACCGAAAAACCTCTACTAAAAAAAAACAACTTTGTGTCCATCTGATCTCTAGTTGTTGCTCTCGCTGCTATACTGTACTGTCTGGCGGTGGTCTTGACGACAGCTGTCCAAACCATTTTATGCATTGGTTATCATGTTTTTACATGGTGTATTATTATTATTATGACAGACCTGCCTAGTTGAGTCTTTAAATTTAAAAATTGGCAATGAAATGGTCTAAAATGAGCAATTTGACTTGAAAATTTGTAAAAGTATAATTTTCCTTCACCGAAATAGGGGCCCACTAAAAAAAAATAAAAGTAAAAGAATAAAAATTTGAGTGACAGCTTACAAGACTTACATTTTCTATGCGCAGTTGACTATTTGCACGGAGAAGGCTTCTGATTCCAAGTCATTGAGTTATGAGGGGCTAATGACTTGGTCATTGGTATAGGTACTCTCTCTCCAGCCTTTTCTAGTCGTAGAATTAATTATTCATAGAAAGTTGGCTCGATTTTCGTAATCATAGTACATTCGTATTTTCTTCATGGGGTCAAATTTCTGGCATATTTTCATAATATTACGAAAACTTCGAAAAGGCAGGTCTGTATTATGATTACTGGTGTGTAAAATGAGTGCTTAGTTTGATGTTGATCAACTTTTTGAAAGGCAAGGATTGATTGAGTGAGTCTGGAGAAGAAAAAACAAAAAGGTGAAAGTGAAGGGGGCGGGGTGAGATGGAGAGAGTGAGAGGGTATGTGATGTGACATGTGTGCCTATGTACCCGGAATATTCGCTGTTATTGTATTCATTATCGGTCAGGATGACAAAATTCTTGTGAGATCAATTAAGTAAGTGTGTCTTTGACAGAGAAATATCTGTGCTCTGATAAAACTACATCATCATTTGTGACACATGTTTACTTTCCATGTATAGACTTAGTTTTCCTTCCTTCCTTCCTTTACTTTGACCTCAGGGTGAAGTGTTTTTCCATTTTGATTATTTATGAATATT